CCCCCCACCCCCCGGAGGGCGGCAGTCTGCATCACTCACCTAAGCTGCGCGATCCACTGTCTCACCACGTCCCCCTCCTCCTCCTCTTCGCCCAGCTTGGCGCTCCACTCCTTCCCCTCCCTCTCACACGCGCGTGCCTCTTCGAGCAAGCTCTCCTCTACGCCGCCATCGCGCGCCCTTGCCAGCGCCTCGAGCTGCGCTTGCAGGCGGATGCGCGAAGCCTGGCGCAGCAGCTGGCGCGCCAGCGCGGGCGCCAGGGCGCGCAGAGAGGGGAGAAAGACGCAGTGGTCGGCGACGAGGAGGGCGCGCAGCTGGGCGCAGTGTGCACGCAGCAGCCGGCGCACTTGCTGCCTGATCGAGGAGAGGTGCAAAATAACGCGCAAAAGGCGGGGGGGCAAGTCAGCGCCATGCCCAGAGAGACCGCAGCGTGCAGCGCCCGCCGCCGCCGCGCGCCCGCGAAACAAAGTAAAGCCCAAAACGCACTGCTCGAACACGCCCCTGCCACTCCTGGCGTGCAGCGGCGCAAGGGCCTCGTGTAGCGCTTGTAGGGCCGCAGCAATGCGGCGTGCGGCGTGCGGCGCGGCGAGCGAGGCGGCGGCGCGGAGAGCGGCGCGGCAGGTGGCCAGGGCCTCGAGGCGCGGCAGGGCGGCGGAGGAGGAAGAGGAGGAGGAGGAGGAGGAGGAGGAGGAGGAGGAGACGGCGCCTTGCACATGCGCGGCGAAGAGCGAGGCGAGAGACGCCGAGGGAGGGACGTGCATCGCCGTCGCACGCGACAGGTGAGGCTGCGAGGGTGCGAGGGGGAGGTGGTGGTGCGCAACCAAGGCGCGCACGGCGACTCAAAGCCCAAGCCAAGGCGGCGCCCAGGCCAAGGGCGCAGCGGCGTGCGCCTGTCACGTGCGGCGCGGCGTGCACGGACCAGCGCAACACCCTTGACTTTGCCTCGTTCCCCCCTCTTCTCTCTCCTCCTTCCTTGCCCATCACCCATGCACTCAAAATGTCGCTCCTCACGCGCCTGCCCTCCTCCTCTCTCGCCCACGGGCTGCTCACCCACATTTCCGATGCGCGCTCCTCCATTTCCCCCGCGCGCGCGCTGGCGCAGTGGCACGCCTACCGCGCCGTCTTTGCCGCGTACGGCTGGACGCTCTGCGAGGTGCCGCCGTGCGAGGAAGCGCCGGATTCGGTGTTCGTCGAAGATGTGCTGCTCTACCTGCCGTCCTTCACCGACGTGCCTGCCGCACTGCTGCTCACGCGCACGCCCACGCCCTCGCGCGCGCCCGAACGAGTCGGCGCCGCTGCGTTTGCCTCCTCCCTCGCGGCCTCGCGCGGTCTCGCCTTTCTAGAGATGCCCGAAGACGCGCATCTCGAGGGCGGCGACATCCTCAAGCTGTCCTCTTCACGCACGCTCTACGTCGGCCAGACGTCTCGCACCTCTGCGCGCGGGCTTGCGGCGCTGCGTGAGCTGGCCGAGCCGCGCGGATGGCGCGTGCTGGGCGTGCACATCGACAAGGCACTGCATCTCAAGAGCGCAATGACGGCTTTGCCCGATGGGACTATTCTCGCGCATGCGCCGCTGCTGAGTGAGGAAGCCAGAAGGCTGCCGCGCTTAAGAGAGGTGCACGAGGCGGAGGGCGTGGCAGTGGTGCATTTGAACCGGACGGCGACGGCGACGGCGGCGGCAGGAGAGGGCAGCAGGACAAAGGGAGCACTGCTCATCAGTGCCGCGGCGCCGCGCACGGCGCAGATGCTGCGAGAGATGGGATGGCACGTCGAGTGTGTGCACATCGATGAGTTCGAGGTACGTCGCTCTCTCTCTCTCCCCGTCTCTCCATGCTACTCTCTCTCCTCTCTCTCCTCTCTCTCTCTCTCGCCCTGCAAATGCGAGCAAGATCGGCTCACCCAACCCCCACTCATGCGCTCGGCGCCTTTCACTTTTCGCGCGCGCGCGCCGCCGGCTTTGTAGAAGCTCGAAGGCTGGTCAGTCTTTTCCTCCCCCTCCCCATCCTTTCTTGGGCGGCGCGCGCGCATGAGAGAGGGGCTGTGAGCGCCCACTGTTTGCCTACGTTTTACTGACCACACCAATGCACCTCTCCCCCTCCCCCCTCCCCCCCTCCCCCCCCCTCTTTCATCGTCGGCATACCTCGCAGCGTCACTTGTCTCTCGGTGCGCATGCGCTCTTAGCCCCCCTCTCCTCCCCCCCGCGCAGCTTCAGCTCTGCCCATCCTCTCAAGTTCCCCCCCCCCTCTTCCCAAGCTTTTGGCACGTCAACAACAAGCGGAACGACGAAGGGCGGGGCGTCCAGGGAGCAGCGAGGCGTGCCTCGAGAGCCGGGCATGATGAGGGGGCAAGCAGGGAGGGGGGGGGGGTATGATTCTCATTTCGCCGCTTGCGAAAGAAGAGAAGGCAGAAGGGCACACCTTTTTGTGTGTGTGTGTGTGTGTGTGTGTGTGTGTGTGTGTAGGTGCAGGGCGCTCGGGAAAGCTAGTCAGTTGTGGGGGAGCGTTTGGAGCAAATAAGCGAGGGTGGGGAGCAAAAGGGGAGGAAAGGGATGCAGAGCGAGAGAGAGAGGATAGCATGTGTGTGTGTGTGTGTGTGTGTGTGTGTGTTCGTGCGCAAAAAGGAAGACGCCGTCTGGAGGGTGAGAGAGACCGTCGAGGACTGAAAGGCCCGCAGCATCGGGGGGGAGAGCGGAGCGCGGGTCCGGTCATCGAGGGGAGGCGTTCGATGTGGGGAGGGGGGGGGGGGGGGGGGGGGGGGGCAAGGCAAGCACAAAGTCAGTTTCCGAGGCCAAGCCTTCCCGCCCGCCCGCCTCTCTGCGGTGTGTGTCGGGGGGACTAGCACCACTCACATCAGCGAGCTGGTCCAACTGAGCCTCGTCCATCTCTTCCTCCTTGACATACAGCGCCAGGCGCTTTACCAAGTCTCGAAACTCGTCCTGTGCAAACGTGATGGTGCGTGGGCGCGCGAAGGCGTCGTCGAGGAGCATGTGAATCGTGGCGCGGCGCAGCGCGTCGTAGCGCAGCGCCGCGCGCAGGCTCGCCAGCAGACTGGGCGCCACCTCCTCGGCGTCGGCGGCGGGCGTGCGCGTCGAGGGAAAAGGGATGACGTGGGCGCGGTCGGTGATGCGCTCCAGCTTGCGGTCCGAGGCGATGCCGTCGAACGGCGGACGGCCATAGACCATCTGGTAGAGGATGCAGCCGAGCGACCAGACGTCGGAGGGCATGCCCGCCTGATGAAATCGTCATCAGGCTCGCATCAGTTTTGGCGCGCCCCGCATCGAAGGGCAAATATGGGGGGGGGGGGGGCGTGGCCCACAACACTCACCTTGTACACGCCGCCCTGTCCGCGCGCACACAGAATCGTCTCGGGCGCCATGTAGTTTGGCGTGCCGATGATCTGGTCGCGCGAAATGTGCACCGTGCCGAGCGGAATCTTCTGCGCAATGCCAAAGTCGATGAGCTTGAGGCGCGCGCCGACGAGGAGAAAGTTGGCGGGCTTGAGGTCGGTGTGCACGAGGTGCGCGCGCACGTGGATGAACTGCACCGCCTCGAGCATCTGCATCCAGTATGTGCGGATCTGCGCCTGCGTCAGAGGCCCGAGGGAGAGATGCTTGGCGAAGTCTTGATCGCCGACTTCGATGAGCTGCGCCGAGGTGGGATGCAACAAGGGGGCCGGAGGAGGGGGAGGGAGGGAGGAGAGGCATCAGCAGGTGGTGCGGCGCCCCTTCTGCAACGGAAGAGCCGCGACTGAGAAGGGGGGGGGGGGGCACAAAGGACAAGACTCACGATCTTCAGGGCCGAGCCGCTCAACTTGTGGCCAAAGTACTTGAGGATGTGTCTCTCGTTTCCCTCTTCCTGCGCCAGGGCCTGCAGCGTCTCGACCTCCTTGAGCAGCTCGGTGCGACAGTGCGGCTCGAGGCGTTTGAGGGAAATGTGCTTCATGGCAAAGAGGCCCGTGTGCGCCTCGGGCACCGCCTCGATGCTGATCGAGCCGTCGGGAAGCGCCACGGCGCGGTTCAGCGGCCCGCGCACGGCCCACACCGACGAGAAGCCGCCCTCGCCGGCGCGGAAGAGCTTGGCGAACTTCTGCCCGCGGAACTGCGAGAGGAGCCAAGGAGCCCCATGCGGCCGACGTCAGCGCTCGCGACCTCTCCCCCACACCTAGCATCGCGCCCTCTCTCTCTCTCTCTCTCTTTCTCTTTCGAGAGGCAACGACGCGCGCAACGCAAAACACTCACCGTAGTCTCCTTGCAAGCTGCCAAGCCCTTGCCGTGCCTCCTGTCGCGCACCACGAAGTCCTCAATCTCGGCCTGTCTCGCAATCTCACTCGCGAGGGCCGTCTGGTAGTGGGCCAAGTCATGTGCCTCGAGCTTGAGGCGCAGCTCCATGGCCTCATCTCGCGCGCCGCCGTCTTCCTCTTCCTCCTCGAGCTGCAGCGGCTGCACATGCAGCGGCGCAAGAGGCTGCAGCACCGCGGCCTGCGACAACACAGGCTTGGCGGCAGCGTGCGCGAGAGGCGTGTGTGGCGCCGCAGCAGCAGCGACGTTGACACGGCTCGAGGCGCCCAGTGGAGCTCGTGCGGCGGCGGCGGCGGCGGGTGCGGCTGCAGTCGGCACTGACACGGCACGTTCTGCAGCGCCGCCTGTGGGAGGCGCAGGTGCCAGTCGATGGGCGTCGAGTGCGGAAGGCATGCCCAGGCCAAAGCCTGCGCCCAACGGCTGTCTCCTCGCGGCGGCGGCGGCGGCGGCAGGATGTGCTTCGGAGCGCAGCGGCGCAGGCTGCGAAGCGGCGAGCGCCGCACGCACCGGCTCGAGCTCTTCCTCCTCCTCTTCGTCCGCGCCCAAGCGCACGACGGGACTGGCTTGTTCCTCTCGTCGCTCCTCCTCGAGCGCCGCCTCTTCATCCTCCGCTTCCGGCTCCAGCGCAGTAATCAAGACGCGCCGCGCAGGCACATGCGCACTGCTGGTGCGCCCCGTACTGCGCAGCGCTCGCCCCACACTGCGCGGCGCCGCCGTCGCCAGGGAGCGCAGCGTGCCTGCGCCGGCGCGCAGACTGCGCGCCATCGCCGGTGTCTCGTACGCCGGCGCCGCCGCGGGCGCGGCCGTCGCCGCCGTCGAAGTCGAGGCGAAGGCAGCAGAGGCAGCGTCGAGGTCGGGCGAGCGCGACGGCGACGGAGTGCTTCGCCTTGCTACGCTGGCACCTGCCGCGTGCAGTGCATGTCGAGCCTCGCGTGCGGCCGCTGCGGTGGAGGAAGAGGGCGCCACGCCTGCGGCTGCTGCGCCGTCGGCGGCGCCGAGGGAGGAGCGTGCAGAGGACGAGGCAGAGGTGGAAGAGGCATGGCTGGCCGCTCGTGCATGCGGCGGTGCCGTGGCTGCAGCAGGCGCATACGTGCCACTGCCGCTGCTCGAGCGCGGCGGCGAGGCAGCGCCGGGCGCGTGCGGTGAGGCACTGCCGCTCGAGGAGCGCGCTGAAGAAGCGCCGGCGCCGCTGGGCGAGCGAGAGGAACGTGGTGCAGCACTGCTGCTGCTGCTGCTGCTGCTGGCGAGGCAAGCCAGGGGCGGCGGCGAGGGCGAGAGGCCCATGCTGCTGCCCAGCGTGGTGCGCACTTGGGGCGCGGCCGCGGCGCCGAGGCGCGACGACGAGGCGTGCGCCGCAGAAGCAGCGGCCAGTCGCGAGCTCGCCGCGGCGGCGTGGATGCGCGGCGCAAAGAGGTAGGCCCTGCCACTGGCGGCGCCGCTGCCACTGCCACTGGCAGCGCTGCTGCTGCTGCTGCTGCCGGCGGCGCTGGTGCTGCGCGCCATGAGGGCGGCGGCGGAGATGGCCGGCGGCGCGGGCAGCGGCGAGTCGTCGTCGGGCGAGTGCGGCAGATGGGCGCGGCTGCGCAGCGGCGTCGAGGGCGGCATGGTGGCCATGGTGCGTGCGCTGAGGCCACACGGCGTGTGCGGCGCAGAAAGCAGAGAGAGCGGCGTTGAGGGTGAGGGGTGCTTGAGGAGATGGAGGAAGAGCGCAGGGCATGAGGCTTGTGGCAGGGCAGACAGCTCCTTCGCAGCGCCGCCGCGCGCGGCGCGCGCGCGCTCCTCACGCAAGCTCGGAGCCGCGCGCGCAGGCGCCGCCGCGGCGCAGCGAGAGCAACACCTTGCACGTCTCTCTGCCAGCGCCCTCGCAGCCCATCGCACCTCTGTAAGCAGCACGCTGAGTTCCTTCGTGTATATGCCATTGCAAATCCTCACCGAGCTCTCAGCACCGTCCAGGTGGCAGCGAGGCGGCGCGCCGGGCGCTGGCGGTGCGGCAGACACGCGCGCGCGCCGATCAACACCGAGCTGCAGCTGCAGCTGGCCAGGCACGCGTTGCGTCACGTGCGCGCGCCATGCGGCTGCAGCCAGCCGCGCCGCACGCACGGGCGAGCTCCTGTCTCTCGCCGCCCATTCTTCTTGGCGCACTCTCGCCTTGTCTCCGCACCCTCACCTCCCATCTCGGCGCAGCACCTCTCTCACACCCTCCTGCCCATCACGCATCACAGCGCAGACGCAGCATGTCGCGCAGATACGACGAGCGCGACTACCGCGGCGGCGGCGCAGGCGGCTACGGCGCCGCAAGAGACGAGCGGCGCGGCGGCGGCGCAGGAGGCTATGGCGGCGGCTATGGGTGAGTGGCGGCAGCAGAGCCGCGCGAACGGCAGAGCGGCACGGCGGCGTGCGTGTGGCAGACGGGCACGGCCATGTGCGCACCCGCGAGATGCCCCACGTCTGTGGCAGCCCGGCGAGCACGGCTGCCTTGGCCAGGCAGTCGCTCAGCCTGCCCCCTCGCACCGGCCAGCACGTGGACGCCAGCCTCGCCAGTGACTGGTGTTGCAGCGCGGCCACGCACCTTCAACGCACAAGCTTGCGCACGTGCATCTCTGGCCTGCCTGCTCACCCACCTCTCGCGCAACAGCCGACAAGACGACGACTATGCGCGCGGCTCGCGCTCCCACCACGACTACGGCCGCGACGGCTACGGCGGCGCGCACGGAGGCGGGCACGGCGGCGCGTATGACCGCTACGACCGTGGCGGCGGTGGTGGCGGTGGATACGGCGCGCGCTCCGACTACGGCGCTCGCAGCGGCGGCGGCGGCGGCGGCGGCGGCGGCGGCGGCGGCGGATGGCGAGATGCTCCGCGCGGAGGCTACGAGGCCGAGCCGCGGCGCAGTCGCACGCCCGAGGGCACGCGCAAGCTCTCGGAGCGCAAGGTGGCGCACTCGCGATGGGACCAGAAGCCGGCGGGCTTCGAGGAGATTACGGCCATGCAGGCCAAAGCTACTGGTGCGTTCACAAGCCCTCCGCGCGGGCAGACCACCGCCCCCCCCCCAGGGTTGCTGACAGGCCCACGCACGCAGGCATCTTCGGTCTGCCGGGCCAGAGCCGCGGCGGTGCCGGCTCCGGCGCCGCCGGCACCGGCCTTGCGCCTCTGCGTGTCGGCGGCATTGGCGGCATTCCCGACGCCGCCATGCTCGCCGGCATCGCGGGCGCCACGACGGCCAATCGAGGCGCGCGGCGCCTGTACATTGGCAACGTCGGCCCCGGCGCCACCGAGGGTGCCATGACCAAGTTCTTCAACGAGCGCATGGTCGAGCACAAGTTCATGACGGCGCCCGGCGACGCGGCCATTGCGGCCCAGGTCAACGGCGACAAGGGCTGGGCCTTTGTCGAGTTCCGCTCGGCCGAAGAGACGACGAACGCCATGGGCTTCGACGGCATCGTCTTTCAGGGCTCGTCGCTCAAGATCCGGCGGCCCAAAGACTACCTCGGCCCGGACATCCAGCCGCCGTCGAGCGCCCACGTGCCGGGCGTCATCTCGACCAACGTGCCCGACGGGCCCAACAAGATCTACGTCGGCGGCCTGCCGACGTACCTGCAGGACGAGCAGGTGATTGAGCTGCTCAAGGCCTTTGGCGAGCTGCGCGCCTTCAATCTCGTGCGCGAGAATGGCAACGGCGCCAGCAAGGGCTATGCGTTTTGCGAGTACGTCGATGCGGCGCTGACGGAGGTGGCCTGCGCCGGGCTCAACGACATGGAGCTGGGCGATCGGCGGCTGGTGGTGCAGCGCGCCAGCATGTCGCTCGACCGTCGCCCCATGCCCACGACGGTGGGCGGCGGGCAGCCCCTCGGCCTCGCGCTGCCCGTCGCCGCGGCCGGGCCCGCAGAGCCGACGCGCGCCATGATGATGCTCAACATGGTCACGCCCGACGAGCTGCTCGACGACGTCGAGTACGGCGAGATTCTCGAGGACATTCGCGACGAGCTGGCCAAGTTTGGCACGCTGCTCGACGTGCGCATTCCAAGGCCGCAGGGCCAGAGCAAGGGCGCCGCGGCACAGACGTGGAAGCAGACCGTCGACGGCGAAGTGCCGACGGCAGAGGGCGAGAAGAAGGAGCGAGAAGGCGTGGGGCGCGTCTACGTCAAGTTTGACAAGGTGCAGCAGTGCCAGATTGCCCTGCGCGCGCTGGCGGGCAGACAGTTTGGCGGGCGCACCGTCATTTGCGCGCACCTCAACGAGTCGGACTGTGAGTGTCTTTGCGCTCGGCGTCTCGCTGGCGATGTAAGATGGGGACGCTGACTCTTCGCTCTGTGCAGGGCCCAGCGACGAGGATGGAGGCATGGAGGGGGACGCTACTACCTCGGGCATCAAGACGGAGTGAAGGCTGCCTCTCTCTCTCTCTCCTCTGGCCTGCGGGCGCAGAGCTGGGTAAGCTGGACCATTCGTGCAGTGGCGAGGCGAACTCGCAACAATGTCATGAGTGCGGAGAGTGCCGCCTTGCCCATGCGTGGTGCTTTGGCCTGATGCCTGATGAGCATACGAAGCATGGGGTGGGTGCAAGCTTGCAAGGAGCAGCAGGAGGGGGAGAGCCAGTCGCCATGCCTGCTTGCTTGGCCGCTCGCGTCGGTGCGGGGGGCAGAGAGTGTGCAAAGCCGCGTGCCCGCCGTTGCGCTGCTTCGAGGTCGAGCTCAGAATCGGCGACGGGGCTCACAACAAGGCAAAGCAGGCGCGCAGCTTGGCGTTGCGTAAGAGATGGGTGTTGAGCATGCCTCGCCTGCCTGCCAGAAGACCAGATGCCCTTTGAGCTGCGCCCAAGTGCGCACACGGCGCGCAAAGGAGCACGGCGCCGGCGCTCCTGGCGGCGAGCCTGCTTCTGGCGCCCTCTTTGCCTGCCTTGCGTTCGGAGGATTGAGTTGCCTCTGCTCGCTCGCTTCTCGATCCCAAGGGCTCTCTTTCTGGCGCGCCGGGACGCTGCGCCAGCGAAGCTGCAGAGCGCTGCGGCTGCGGCGGCGTGCTGCAAGGGTCAGGGTGCAGCGCCGACGGAGTAACGCTTTTGCGCTTGAGATGCCGGCGGCGGCGGCGCGGCGAGGAGGCTTGGATGGCGCGCGCGCACGCCGGCGCCAGCGCCGCCGGTCGCACGCTCGGGCGCGGGCAGGCGAGCAGTCTACAGCCAGTGTGTGCATCTTGCGTGCGCGACGCCGGCGCAGACGCGTAGGCGGCGGCGCGCCTTCTCTCCGCTGCCGCGGCGCGTTCTCTGGTGCCAGCAGCAGCCCACAGAGCAGCGCGAGATGCGCCTCCGGAGGCCGCGATAGCTGCTGCCTCTCCTCTCCATCACGCCCCGCACGCACTCAGCCCGCTTGCTGCACCTCTCGTCACCCGCCGCGCCGCCTCGTTCGCTCATCCTGCTTCTCGGCTCAGCCCACGGCTGCCGCTCCCTCGTCGCTCGTCCGTCTCGAGGCGAGGCCAGCCGGCGCGCGTCACTCCTCGTCGCCCGCCTCCGCCCGGCCGTGCGCCGCCCGCCGCCGCCGCCGCCGCCGCCGCCGCCGCCGCAGCGAGAGGGCCCGCCATGTCCGAGAAGGGCGCGTACCTGGCGCCCGCGCCGCCGCCGTATCGCTTCCACCAAGTCTCGCCCACGCCCTCCTCCTCGCGCCCCGTCTCGCGGCCCTCGTCGCCGCCGCACGGCGGCTCGCTGCCCTCGCCGCTGCCCGCACGCGGCGGGAGCGGCGGCGTCGGCGGTGGCGGCGGCGCCAGCACGGCGGGCAGCATGGCCGCCGGCGGCCTGGCGCAGCTGCCGCGCCTGGCGCACGCCTGTGCCGCGCTGCTGCTGCGCCGCTGGAAGAGCGTCCTCTTCATCGCCCTCTTTGGCACGCTTGCCGCGTTTGGCATGTTCGGCGCCATGTGGACCGAGTGGCGCGAGATGACCTACTACCGGTGAGTGTGGGCGGCGAGGCGAGTCAAGCTGGGCATGCGCGAGGGCGGCCGGCTGCTGCCCACTCGGCTGCAGCGCGCGAGTCAAACTGAGCATGGGCGAAGGTGGCCGTCTGCTGCCCACTCGGCTGCAGCGCGCGAGTCAAACTGAGCATGGGCGAAGGTGGCCGCCTGCGGTCCATTTGGCTGCAGCGCGCGAGCAAAGCCGGGCACGGCGAGGCGGCCGGCTGCTGTCCATTCGGCTGCAGCGCACTCGCCCTGAGCAGTGTGCATGCTGGCGCACAGAGGCTTCTGCTGGCGGTAGCAGCAGGCAGGAGCAGCGCACCCGCACTCGCTGCTTCTCGTGCTGACGCGCCCCACAGCGTCGACCCATACCCGACGCTCGTGCCCTCTCGGCCACCCGGCTCGCCCGCCAACGCCGCGGCCGCGCCGCTGGGGCAGCCGACGACGCGGCCGATCAAGCCCGTGCCCAAGTTCGGCGCCTGTCCGGGCCCCAAGAGCGGCGTGCCGATCCCCCTCTCGCCGCTGCAGTGGTACGCGTCGCCCGAGTCGCACCCCATTCCGCTCGTCGGCTCGTACGCGGCCGTGGGCATGGATCCGACGCGCTGCCTCACCTACCGCGACCGCTACTCGATGTACACCGACGAGGCCCTCGGCATCACCTACCGCACCGACGTGGATGATGAGATTGAGGAGGCAAAGGCAAAGAAGAAGCAGATGTACGACGACGATCCGGACAATCTCAAGCCGACGGCCTCGAGCAGCGCCGCGCCAAACGTCATCACCGGCGGCCAGCCGGCGTTCATGGGCAAGCCGGGCAGCAAGGATCCGAACTCGCGCAAGCATGCGCAGGAGGCCGCCAGCCGCAGCGCCAACGCCGCGGCAAAGGCCGCGGCGTCCATCAGCGCCGGCGGCAAGAGCAACAAGAACTACAAGCGGCCCCTCGTCGGCTTCAACGCCACGGACCCGCTCTTCGGCCCGCGCAAGCCGGCCAAGATGCACGAGGGCGAGTGGGAGCGCTTCCTGCGGGACCGCGTCTGGAAGGCCAACCTGCGCTCGGAAGAGCTGGGCCCGATCTCCTTTCCGGACTGGCGCGCGCTGATGGATGCCTGCTTTGAGAAGCGCGAGCGGGAACGAGGGCGCGCGGGCGGTGTGGATGCGTTTGATCCGGCGAGCCAGCCGCTGGCGGACACGATTGCGCAGGAGATGCTCGACGACGACGTGCCGCCCAAGTTCAAGACGAATCCGGACACGAAGCGCACGGCACTGGTGATGCGCAGCTATGAAGGCTATGTCTGGGTGAGTTGCGGGCGCGCGCAGGCTGAGGCGCAGCGAAATGGGGGGCGGAGCGTGCGCTGACGAGTGACGGGCTGCTCAGCGCGAAGACGACATTCTCAACATGCGCGCCCTGATTGCCGAGCTGTCCCTCAACAACCCGCACACGCCGTACGACATTCGCATCCTCGTCGAGGTGCACGGCCGGCATCTGTCGGTGTTTACGAGCGAGTGGGACCGCCTCAACGTGCTGCGCTCCAGTGTGCCGCGCGAGTTCTGGGGCATGGTGGAGCTGTGGACCGAGGATGAAATGTGTGCCCTCTACCCGGGACTGCCGGGCAAGTTCCTGAACCACATGATCGCACAGAGGTGAGTTGCGCTGTCCCGCGGCTTGACGTGCGGCCGAGCTGCGGCAGAGGCGGTGGGCGCTGACACCCGCCTTGCCCGCGCGCAGCTCGTACCGCTCGTGCCTCATGGCGCTGCAGAAGTTCTACCTCGACCACCAGGAGTACGACTTTGTGTACAACTGGGAGATGGACGTGCGCTACATTGGCAACTACCTCGACTACTTTGAGGGCGTCGAGGGTGCGTAGCAGCTTCTCCGTTGCTTCTCGCACCGCCGCAGCGAGACGCTGACACGCCGCTCTGCCGTGCTGCAGAGTACGCGCGCAACGAGCCGCTCAACGTCGGCATGGACAAGTACGACAGCTGGTTCGTGCGCAACGTGACGGTGTCGGAGGAGAACTGGGGCAACAACGAGACGCTGCAGGTGGGGCGCGGCGAGGAGGCCGACCTCATCACGCTCGGCCCCATCTTCGATCCGCGTGGCAGCGGCTGGTTCTGGGAGTACGATGTGCAGAGTGAGTGGGAGGACGAGGAGTGCGCTGCACGCAGGTGAGGGGGAGCGCGCTCACATGCTCTCGCCACAGACTACCCCAACGGCGAGGGCACGCATCGCCGCGCCTCGATCGGCACCAACATGCGCATGTCGCGCTCGCTGCTCGACGCCATGAATGTGGTGAATGCCGAGGCGAAAAAGTCGCTGCACTGCGAGGCGTGGCCCACGACGCTCGTGCTGCACTCGCAGCTGCCCAGCTCGCACGAGCACAGCTTCTACCCCGAGGCCGGCTTCACACACAACCTGCCGCTGCCCTTCAAGGGCGTCTTTGCGCCGCACCCCGTCTACTTCCGCCACTACTGGGACGCAGAGGTGCTGCATGCCCGCATCAACAGACCCGACTTCTACAAAAAGGCAAACGAAAAGGTCATGCGCGACAGTGCCTTCTAGTGAGTGTGCACGTCGGCGCGCCGAAGGGGGAGCCAGGCTGACGCAAGCGCCAACGCGTGCCCTCTTGCCTCCAGCTACGACGGAGCACATGCAAAGGAGATCTACGTCGGCTGGAAGGAGCGGGACGACGTGTGCCGGGCGCCCGTGCTGCTGCATCCCATCAAGCGCGTCGTGAGTCTGTGCTGCCGAGCACGTGGCTCTGCCGCTCCACTCACGCCCTCGCCCCCCGCAGGACTGAGCGTCAAGCGGCGATGCGCGTGCCGCCATCGCAGGACGCATCCTGCGCTTCTCGCTTCCCTTCCCTGCTACGTGGTGATGCCTTCACGAACCCCTCGCTGTGGCCTCTTCCTTTGTCCCCCCTTGCCCCTGCCCCCTCCCATCCTACAGTTCCCCATCTCGTCTCCCCCTACCCTCTCTTCACGTGTGCCCTCACCGTCGACACTGCCTCCAAGTCGCTGCCTCGTGCGACCAAATGCAAACATACAGCTCTCTCGGCCCCGATGCGCGCCCTGTGCAAAGGGATGTATGGAGAACGCGGAGCGGCGGATCACCGGAACATGCGCAGATAGGCTGCGGAAGGGAGAGGAGTGAGCTGCAGCCCATGCAACGCCGGACAGACGGGGCGAGCGCACCAAGAAGTAGCTGCAAGGGAGGGGAGCATCAGCGACGCGTGCGGCAGCGCGAGGCACGCAGGCAGCACTCACCGCGCCCTGTCCACCGCCAAGTCCGCAGCCGGCAAGTCTTCGACGTCAGCTCTGGCCTTCTTTCCACGACTCCACATCTGTGGACGCACCGCACCCGTCGCCACACCCGTGAGCGTCTGCAGCACGTTGAACTTTGCACTCTGGATGCTCGTGCGCAGCGTTGCAATCTCCGACTCGATGCGCGTGTCGACCTCTTTGATCTTGAGGGCGTGCACGGAAGACTCGTCTCGGATGCGGCCTGCACACCGAACAAATTCAGCACAAGCAAGCGGGGCGCGCTGGCGAGGAGAGCAAGAGCTTGGCGCCCGCGCGCGCGCGACGCACCCTTCTCGAGGTTGAGATCCAGCCGCACGCCGGCCGTGGTGCGCGTGATCTCCTCTCTGAGCTTCTGCTTCAGCTTCTCCACGTCGGCCATGAGGCGCTCGTTTTCGCTCTTCATGAGGGCAAACTCGTTGCGCTCCAGCAGCTGGATCTCGCTCTTGAGGCGCGCAAAGTCGACCTTCTGCGAGTAGCGCCAGCGCTCGGCCTCTGCGCGCGGGATGAGCGACGCCTCGAGGTTCGCCACGGCCGACGAGACGGCCGCGTGCAGCGAGGCGACGAGCTCCGAGGCTTGCTGCCGCGTCAGGCCCGACGACTCGAGGCGCGCGACGAGGGCGTGCGTGTCGAAGTGCGAGGGCGGCGTGTGCATGTGCCGCGGCGAAGAGGGAGAGGTGGAGGCGAGCAGATGTGGACGCGGCCCGACGCTGCCGAGGCGAGCCGCGCGGGGCAGCGCGAGCGACGAGGGGCCGGCCCGCAGAAGCATGGCGGATGAGGCTGGAGAGAGAGAGACGGGGTGAGGGTGACGCGCTGTGGGGATGACGAGAGTCAGGAGCCAGGCGCCGCCATGCTGCTCGTCGTCGGCGTGGGTGCACGGCGGCACTCACTCCACCGCCGCCCGCTCCCCGCACGCGCTGACTAAGCACAGCGGCCACCGCATCGTTGCCCATCGTGTCCTCGCTTGTCTGCCCACCGGAGGGCGCTGCTTTTGCTTCCAAAATGCTTGAGTCGTGTGTCTTTGACAAGCCTCAAGGTCCCTGCAGCGTGTGTTGAGGCAGGCATGTGGCCTGGCGCGGTGGACGATGCATGTGCGCACCACCCGTTCGCAGAGCTGGAGCTGCATGCTGGACGTGCGGCGCTCCGCCTGGCTTCATCATCCGAGACATTATTTGCCTGCCTGCTGTCAGGCTCAGCGATGCTCCAGGTGCAGGTACACAGCATCCCTGGCTGCGCTCCATCACGGTCGCGGTGGCCGTCAGGGGGATGCCTGCAGCTGGCGCGCTGGCGGTGATGAGCTCCGAGCATGGCCCGGGCGCAGCCGAATACAACTTGCGGCGCGAGAGTACAAGCCACGCGGTGCCGAATATAGCTTCGGCACCCTGCTGCGCGCGTCTCGATTCAAGTTCGCTGCGCGCGCCGCTCGGAGCTGGAAGCTCTGGCCGAGGTGCCGCCTCGAAGGCACGACTTGCTTCTGCTCCACCCCATCACCTCGACGAGCTCCTCAGCTAGCAGCGCAAGGGCAGCACCACGCCGCTCTGCTCCTCTCCGCGGCGCTCCGCCTACACTACGCCGCTGCTTCTGCCAAACGTCAGCACCGCCCTCGCCTGCTCGCACCTGCACCGCCGGCGCAGCACGCAAGTGCACCGCCTCTCCGGCTCCATCTCGTCCATTGCTGCAGCCCATCGAGGCACGCAGGGCAAGATGCGAGCCTCCTCTTCTCTCCGGCTAGTGCTCGGCGTGCTGTGCTGTGCGCTTCTCGGCGCCCTGGCTGCATCGCCTCCACCGCAGGCAAAGACGACGCGCTTCGGCGCCCTGCCGGCGGCGCTCGTCTACTTCCCCGACTCGCCCGTCGTGCTGTATCACGATGCGGCGCACGGCGTGGTGCATCGCAGTGCGGACGAGGGCGCCACTTGGAAGACGGTCGACGGGAGCACGGGGGCGCCCAACAAGGGAGAGGTCGCCATGGTCGTGCTGCATCCCGGGGATCGGACTACGGTGAGTGACTGGCCAGGACGAGGCGGGTGAGAGATGGAGGCCTCTCTGGATGCAAACAGAAGCCGTGCGTTGTTCATGCTGGGCTATGCGGGCCAGGCGGCGCCACACTTAGCCGTGCGCCGTCTGAAACGGTGTGCTGCTCGAGCATTCTCGAGTGCACTCTCTCCCCAGGCCTTCTCAGTTCGCGAGAGTCACAGGGCCGGGTCGTCTCGTCGCGAGCAGTTGGAGCGTCAGAGTGCCGTGGCGCTTGAGCCATGGCTTCAGACGCGCTCGCTACCCGGTGTGCTCAGTGCGCCAGAGGCCTTTCTCGAGCCGAGTGTCTCAGCACAGCTCGTGCTCGATATGCCTCGTTCTGGAGCTCAAGAGACAGGCTTAACACTGCTGACTACTCTTGCATCAGGCCTTCATCCTGACCTCTGGCACGACGCACTACCGCACCTCGAACCGCGGCGAGAGCTGGCAGTCGTTCCGCGTGCCGCTGCCGCCGGCCACGCGCTCTGGCCCGCCGCTAGAGTTTAACCGCGATGAGCAGAATGGCGCCTCGCGCATCATCTATGCGGGCAAGAAGTGCAGCTCCTGGTCTCCGTGGGGACAGGCCATGTGTCACGACATCGTGGGTAGTGCCAGCGCGGCGCGGCTGGGGCACAGCGCCGCACGGGCCGCAGCAGCTGACACGCGATGCGGCGCAGGCGTACTACACGCTCGACGGCTTCAAGACGGACCCAAAGCCGCTCATCGAGCTGCTCGTGCACTGCATGTGGGCCAAGGCCTCGCCCACCGTGGCGCTGCCGAAGGAGAAGATCGACCGCATCTACTGCATTGCGTGGGACGACTCGCCGACGGGCGGCGGCGTGAAGGTGTCGTCGCGCAGCGATGATCCCTCGCACCTGCTGCACTCGCGCGCGCCGGCGCTCGCCATGACGCGGCGCGCCGAGTCGGGAGCGCCGACGCGCCTCTTCTACTCCGACGACTTCTTTGCGACGAAGACGCAGGTGACGATGGACCTGGGCCGCGATGCCAAGAACTTTGTCGGCCTCGGACCCTCGGGCTCGTACCTCGTGACCGCGCTGCGCGACATCTCCTCGTCTACGGGCGGCAATGCAGGCAACGAGATGGCCATGTTTGTCTCGCGCAACGGACAGGACTGGACCAAGGCCAAGTTCCCACACGGCGCAGGGCTCAAGGAGGGCGCGTACACTGTCGTCGAGGGCACGACACACTCGCTCGTCGTCGACGTGCTCGATCCTTCCCTCGGCACAGGGCGGCTCTTCACGAGCGACTCGGAGGGCTCGCACTTTGTGCAGAGCCTCGACATGACGCACCGCAACTCGCGCGGCATCGTCGACTACGAGCACCTGCAGAACGTGCAGGGCGCCGCCATTGCCAACACCCAGACGGGCGGCTTCGGAGAGGAGAAGGTGCGCAGCAAGGCGACGTGGGACGACGGCAGCCGCTGGAGCCCGCTGCAGGCGCCCGACGGCATGTGCAAGGGCCAGAAGCCGGTGAGTGCGGCCATGATCGCTGCGTCGTAGCGAGGCTAAGCGCATCCTCGCCGGCAGGAGGACTGCTCGCTGCACCTCTACTCCGTGTCGCGCCTGCACAACTCGGGGCCCGTCTTCTCGTCGACGGCGCCCGGCTTCGTCATGGGCGTCGGCTCCGTCGGCAACCGGCTGCAGATGTACGAGGAGTGCGACACCTTCCTCTCCACGGATGCGGGCCGCTCGTGGAAGCGCGTGGCGCAGGATGCGCACAAGTACGAGTTCGGCGACCAGGGCGGCATCCTCGTGATCGTCAACGACGAGCAAATGACGGACCACGTCAAGTTCAGCCGCGACTTTGGCAAGACCTGGTGCGTGCCGCGGCGGCAGAGGGTGCGCTGTGCGACGCTGACCGCTCGCCTGCCAGGGAGGAGTTCAAGCTCGGCACGTCGATCATTGCCAAGCTCCTGACGACGGTGCCGGACAGCACGTCGCAGAAGTTTCTGCTGATCGGCACGCAGTCGCGCAAGGAGGCCGGCAGCGAGTTCCGCCACGTGGCCATCTTCCTCGACTTTGCGACGCAGAAGAAGCGCGTGTGCGACCGCAGCAAGGACATGGAGCGCTGGTACGCCGGCTCGGGCGCGCCCGACGCGGCGTCGCAGTGCCTCCTGGGCCACAAGCAGTGGTACCTGCGGCGCAAGCCCGACGCCGACTGTGCCGTGGGCGACAAGTTCAACGAGGTGCCGCCGCAGATGGAGGACTGTCCCTGCACCGACGCCGACTACGAGTGCGACTTTGGCTTCGTGGCCGCCGCCGACGGCTCGTGCAAGCCCAGCATGCCCGAGCACATTCCGGCCGAGGACTGCCGCGGCTCGAGCAAGACGTTCATGGGCTCGTCGGGCTACCGCAAGATTCCCGGCGACACGTGCAAGGGCGGCAAGGTCAAGGACGGCAAGGTGGCCAAGCCGTGCGCCGAGGGCACCAAGCCCGAGAACGGCGAGGTGCTGACGCGCCACCACGAGTTCCCCGGCAAGGTGCTCGACCGCGCCTGGTTCTCCGACTCGCCCAACCTGCTCGTGCAGGTCTCCGACGGCTCCGTGTGGCAGTCGAACAACGACGGCTACACGTGGGTCAAGCCGGAGCTCAACGTCGACCTGCGCGACCCCGACGCGCGCTTCCTCACCATGGCGATGCACACGTACGACAAGGCGCGCGCCTACCTCATCACGAGCGGCCGCCGCGTGCACTACACGTTCGACAGCGGGCGCACGTGGGACTACTTCAGCGCGCCCAACGACGCCAACGGCCTCGGCATTCCGATCCTCGACTTCCATCCGGAGCGCAGCGACTGGCTGATCTGGACGGGCAGCAAGGACTGCACGGACGCGACGTCGAGCAGCTGCCACACGAGCGCCTACTACACGCTCGACCAGGGCCGCACGTGGACGCTGCTGGACGACTACGTGCGCATCTGCTCGTGGGCGCGCGACGCCGCCTTCCACGTCGACACGTCGGCCATCATCTGCGAGTCGTACGCGACAAAGGAGGGCAACCAGAAGGCCTTTGGCGCCGACAATCCGCTGCAGCTCATCTGGGGCGCCAACTACTACTCGCGCAAGGAGACGCTCTTTCCGGCCGTGATCGGCTTTGCGACGTTTGAGGAGTTCCTCGTCGTCGCCGAGCTCGTGCCCAAGAGCGACGCCGTCGCGCTCAAGGTGTCGCTCGACGGGCGCATCTTTGCGCCCGCGCAGTTCCCGCCCAACACGCGCATCGACAACTCGCGCGCCTACACGGTGCTCGACTCGGTCACCAAGGCCATCTTCCTGCACGTCACGACGCACGCCACGCCCGGCTCGCCGTGGGGCGCCATCTTCAAGAGCAACTCGGTGAGCAGCCCTGTGCCGTACGCCTCGCTTGCCACGCTCACCCCTTGCCCAGAACGGCACGTACTTTGCCCTCTCGCTCGACCACGTGAACCGCAACGACCAGGGCTACGCCGACTTTGAGAAGATGCTCGGCCTCGACGGCATTGCGCTCGTCAATGTCGTGGGCAACGCCGACGACGCGTCCGTGTCGGGCAAGAAGGAGCTGCAGACGCGCATCACGCACAACGACGGCGGCAAGTGGAAGGAGCTCATCCCGCCCGTGCGCGACGTCAACGGGCAGCCGTACGAGTGCAACAGCGTCGGCTGCAGCCTGCACCTGCACGGCTACTCGGAGCGCGACGACCCGCAGGCGCTGTACAGCAGCCCCACGGCCGTCGGCATCATGCTCGGCGTGGGCAACGTGGGCAAGTCGCTCAAGCCGTACGCCGACTGCGACACGTTCATGACGCGCGACGGCGGCTTTTCGTGGGAGGAGGTGCACAAGGACGCGCACAAGTGGGAGTTTGGCGACCAGGGCTCCATCATCCTGCTCGTCAACGACGAGGCGCCCACCGACGTCGTCCTCTACTCGCTCGACGAGGGCAAGACGTGGAAGAGCCACAGCATCGGGCAGAAGCTGCGTGTGCAGAGCATCATGACCGTGCCCGAGGACACGCACCGCAAGTTTGTCCTGCTCGGCACGTCGCCCGGCACGCAGGAGCGCACCCTCGCCGTGCACCTCGACTTCTCCACCCTGCAGCGGCGCAAGTGTGAGCAGCGCGGGCCACGTGTGTGAGAGGCGCCGCTGACCGCCTCCCTCCAGGCGAGCTGGACCCGCGGCGGCCCGAGCAGGACGACTTTGAGCTGTGGAGCCCGAGCGAGGAGCGCGAGGAGCCCTGCCTCTTTGGCCGCCAGGTGAGAGGCAGCGCGAGCCGCGCACAGCTGCGGCTGCTGACGCGTCTCTCCGCCAGACGTACTACTACCGGCGCAAGCCGCGCGCCGACTGCTACGTCGGCCAGGTGCTCGTGCAGCCGCACGAGGTGCGCAAGAACTGCTCCTGCACGGCGGCCGACTTCGAGTGCGAGTTCAACCACTACCTCGACCCCGACGGCTCGGGGCGCTGCCTGCCGTACAGCAACACGGCGCTGCTGCCGGCGCACATCGAGGAGCAGTGCGACGCCGACGGCGGGCAGGACTACTGGTACGAGCGCACGTCGGTGCGCAAGGTGCCGTACTCGACGTGCGACGGCGGCCCGCGCCCCGACCACGGCAAGCAGCACACGTGCCCCGCCAGCTTCCGGCGCCACGGCTTCTTCTGGTGGACCACCGTGCTGCTCTCGCCGTTTGGCCTCGCCGCGCTGGTGGGCATCTGGTGGCAGAAGAAGCACCGCGGCGGGTGAGTCCCGCTCTGCCTCCTGCGGTACACCGCTGACGCCCTTCGCCTCGCAGCGCCATCCGGCTGCCCGACGCGCGCGACTACGTCGACGGCAACGTCGTCGACACGCTCGCCTCGATTCCCTCGTTCGTCGTGGGCGTGGCGCACATCGTCATCATCAAGGTGCTCGACATTGCCGAGGAGATGCCGTGGGTGCGGCGGCAGCTGGGCCGCATGCGCGGCTACGGCGGCACGCCGTACGGCCGCGGCGGCAGCTATGGCGGCTACAGGTGAGTGCCGAGGAGCCTCGCCGCGCTGCCTTTGCTGACGGATCCCGCGTGCAGCAACCTCTCGACAGAAGAGGACGCCGCGATTCTGGGCGGCTACGGCGACGACGACGAGGCGCGGTGAGCCCGCGCTACGCCGTGGCCCACCTCGCACGAAATGCAAATCTATAGATGCTCAGACGGACGTGTCGCATTGCCTGCTCTCCCAGCTGCCTGCCTGCAACCGAGCCTCAGCAGAGGCTCATTGCGCAGCAGCATGCCCGCCGACTCACCCGCCTACTCCTTGTCCTGCTTCTCGCCCGCGGCCGCATCGACGCGGTCGAGCGCCTTCTGCACAACGCCGACGGCCTCTTTCCGCTTCTTCCTGCTCTCCTCGCTCGGCACGCTGATGCCGTCGAGTTTGAGCAGGGCGCGCAGCAGCAGCTCGGCGAGGCGCTTCTGCGTCTTGCCGCGCGCCTCGCTCGGACTCGACGGCGGCGGCTGATGTGCGCAGAAGGCCTCGACGTCGGGCAGCAGCGTCGTCGTGACGCCGGCGAGGACGGCGTCGATGCGGGCGGCGATGCTCGCCTCGCTCTCCTCCTCTGGCGGCGCCGCGGCCTCGGCGGGCGGCGGCGGCGGCAGGCGCGAGCCGGCCTTGTCGCCCGACGACGTCGGCGAGACGAGCGTGAGCTTGCTGCCATCGCGCAGGCCGTAGTGGCCCAGCGGCAGGCGCTCGTCGCGCAGGATGAAGCCATTGCTGATCAGCTTGAGCTCCTCATACGGCACGCCCGTCTGTGCGGTGAGGTGCGCCTTGAGGATGCCCAGGGTCGCTGGCGGAGCGGACGGCAGGTTGATGGACAGCCTGGAACGCATACAGTCAGCGTTGCCCTGCGAGTCGCGACTGCCACCACAGCGCCGACGCCTCATGCCACCGAGCACAGCACATGCTTTGGGCCACGGAAGCTGACGACTCAGGGCCGCCACTCACCTGTTGCGTCCCCAGACGACAGTGAGCTGCGTGACGGGCGGCGCGTCCTGGCCGTGCGGCAGCTGTGCGCCGCGGCCGCGCGACGAGCCGGGCGCGCCGGCGGCGGCGCTGTCGTCGCCGAAGCCGTCGCCCATGGCCGACTGCAGCTTGTTCCACTGCGTCGAGAACCACGCCATGCTGCAGTGACTAGCGAGGGAGAGTCGAAGAGAGGCGCGCAGAGGTGTCGCGGAGAGGGTGCGAGCGATGCGCTGTGGTGGAGGAGAGCGGACGTGCACCGCCCGTCGCGCCGCGGCGCCTGCAGAAGGCGCGCCAGCGCTGTCGTCATGCAAGCGGCGCCACAGCGGCAACTGCAGCGCCGCGCCTGCTGCGCCGTGCTGGCGACCCTCATGCCTTGTTCCCGCCCTCTCGCAGCGTGCGTGTTCAGACCTCGAGCTGCCATGCATGTCCAACTTGAGGCTGGAGCACCTTAAGCGACGCAAGTGGCTGTGCGAACGTGCGCTGAAAGGGTGCTGTTCTGCTGAAGGCCGAGCTGGGCTGCGTCGCAGGGCAGTCGAGGACCGACAGTCAGTCGAGCGACCCAGTAAGAGTGCCACTCATCGACAGACAGACTGGTGACAGTCCACTCTATGGAGCACAAGCGAGGCGTGGCAGAAGTCATGTCATGAGACGGTATGAGGCGCGGAGCAGCGCGAAGGCGAGGCATACAAGGATACAGGAGAAAGGGAAGAGAAGGCGGTCCAGGTGCAGAGCAGTGAGCCTCGGCGAGTAGCAAAGTAGTCAGAGGGCCGACGCAGGCGAGTCATGGCGCTCAAAGGCGCGACGACTGGGCCACGGGTGCGCCGTTGCCGATGCTGGTGTGGCGCGTGGCGTCGTCGTTGACGGCGACCTTGCCGCGGATGATGTCGGCCGTCTTCTCGGCGATGGCGATGATCGTCGCCGTCGGGTGGCAGGCAATCTGCTGCGGCATGATGCTGGCATCGCACACACGCAGGTTCTTGACGCCGCGCACGCGCAGCTGCAGGTCCAGCACGGCCTTGTCGTCGACGCCCATGCGCAGCGAGCCGACGGGGTGGTAGAGCGTGAAGGAGTTCTTGTGCATCCAGCGGATGACTGAGGAGAGGTGTTAGCATCGCATCCAGTGCGGGGAGACAAGGGAGACTCACTCTGCTCGTCGGTGATGGCCTTGTAGTTGGAGCTAGACACGGGCCAGTAGAACGAGTCCTCGTCGTCGTTGACGTAGCTGCGGTCGACGTACGGGTCAAAGGCGGCGTTGTGGAAGATCTCAAGGCCCTTGCGCACGCCGGCGATGAGCACGCGCCGGTCGTTGGGCTCGGTCCAGTAGTTGTGGCGGATGACGGCCTTGTCGAAGACGCTGTTCGAGCGCAGCGTCACCGAGCCCTTCGAGAGCGGCCGCAGGCCGATGACGGCAATGCTGATCGTGCCCGGGTGGCCCGCCGGCGTCGTCGTGGCGCCGTGGTCGCGGAAGCAGAGCGGCGTGTGGATGAACTCAATGTCCGGCCCGAAGCCGAGCGAGCCGTGGTCCTCGACCTTGGAGTCGAAGTCGGCCATGCGCGCGAACGCCGCGGCCTCGCCGACGTTGGTCGTCATCGGGCCGCCGCCCGTGGCGAGCCAGCGGATGAGCGCCGGCAGCGACTTGAGGTCGCTCGTGAGGTAGTCGAGCGAGTGCGCCGAGCTGCTCGTGCGGCCGTAGAGGCCGCTCGTGCAGACGTGGTCGTACAGGTTCTTGCCGACGTCGGGCATGTCCTTGACGAGCGGGATGTTGTGCTTCTTCAGCTCCTCGGCGGGGCCGAGGCCGGAGAGCAGCATCGTCTGCGGGCTGTTGTACGCGCCGCCGCAGAGGATGACCTCCTTGTTGGCGTAGACGCGGTGGCGCGGGCCGTCGCGCTTGAGCTGGAACTCGGCGCCCGTGGCGACGGGCTCGGCGCCCTCGAGGAGGATGCGCGTGACGTGCGCGTTGATGGCGATGGTGAGGTTGCTGCGCGACGTGACGCTGGCGGGCAGGTAGGCGGTGAAGGCCGACGAGCGCTGGCCCTTCTGGTCGATGAACGTCTGGAAGCGCGTCGCGCCGATGGGGTGCTTGCCGTCGTTGACGTCGGGATTGGCCGGCACGCCGCTGGCGTCGCAGGCGTCGATGAAGGCCTCGCCCGGCTTGGAGAGCCACGAGTAGCCAACCTGCCACGTGCCGTCGCCGTCGAGGGAGTGGTGCGAGAGGTCGATCGTCGGACGTTCTGGCCGCATTGTGAAGAGCTGTGAGCGCTTGAAGTACGGCCTGAGGGATGCGTCGCCCCAGCCCGTGCAGCCGTAGCGCTCCTCCCACTCATTGAGATCCGACGGCGGGCAGCGCTGGTACATCTGTGGCGGAGTCAGCGCGAGTGCTGGTGGCGGGTCTCGCGCGCTGCACCCACCATGGCGTTCATGGAGCTGGAGCCGCCGAGCATCTTGCCGCGCGGCAGCTGCATGCGGCGGCCGCCGACCTCGGGCTCCTCCTCGGTCTCGTAGTCCCAGTCGTTGGCGCCCTTGAAGAGCTTGCCGAACGCGGCGGGCACCTTTGTCTCGATGATGCCCGACGGGTCGCCGCCGGCCTCGAGCACGCAGACGCTGACGTTGGCATCCTCGCTGAGGCGCGACGCCAGCACGGAGCCGGCAGTGCCGCCGCCGATGATGACTGTGGGAGTGTGAGTGGGTGCGAGGGCAGGCGGCGCAGATCGACGCACCGTAGTCGTAGTGCTTGTCCGCGTACTTGCGCGGGTCCGAGAGGAAGGGCGACGAGCCGAAGCCGAAGACCATGGTGGGCAGAGTGATGGGTGTGTGAGGGTGGTGGTGGTGGGGTGGGAGAGCGGGAAGGCGAGCACTGGGTGCGCCTTATGACCGTGGGCGGTGTGAGAGGTGACAGGCGCAGGCGCAGCCTGAGCGGGGCAACCACGCCCGAGTGCGGGGTAAGCGCCCGTGCGCGCCAATGCGCACACTGCTCGCGTGCCCGACCTGCCCATCTTCCGCCGCCGCCGGCCGAGGGCAAGACCCGTGCGCAGCGCTAGGCCGGGCACCAGCGCAGTCTCGCGCCAGCCGGAAGACGAGGCAGCGCTGGCCGGCGAGCGGAGACGGCGCCAACATGCACCATGCGCCTCGGCGATGGAGCTCAGACGCAGCAGCGTGCGACGCTCTCGCGGGCGGCATCTCGGCCTGCGCCGTCGTCGACCGGCAAAGGATCCGGCTCGCGCGCTGGCTGGCTCGGCCATGCGCAGACCGGCTGTGCAGCGCAGCCGCGCTGCTGCTGGTCGTGCGCCGCCGCCTCGTCGCCCGCACCTCACCTCCCTCCACCGCAGGGGCCCCGCATTCCCCAGGCGATGATTGCGCAGACAGATGAGCGGCAGTGGGGTGATCTGAGGTGCGCTGCATGGATGGCAGAGTCGAGCGAGAGGCGGGAGCGGCGGCTCCAACAGCTGCAAACGATGGCGCTCTGCTGTGCTGTCGCCGAGGCCGAGGCGCCGCGTCAACGCCACGCGCTGCGTCCGCAGCCCAGCCACAGCCGACGGCATGGATCCTCGCAGCGCACGTCAGGCGCTCGCAGCGGCTCAGCGAGGCACAATCTGGCGATGCCGATTCTGTGGCCAAAAGCTCGCCTCATCCAGGCGGAGCCAGTTCGAGAGCAAAGAGCGGTGGTGGTGGCGCCAGGGCACGGGACTCGGGCTGGGCGGCTTTACACTCCCGATGCCCGATGTCCGTGCCGTGCGAGAGATGCCGCCCGCCCGGCGACCTTTGCTGCGCCTGCGTTGGATCTCCTTATCCTCCATCGACCGTCAAAATACATCCATCGCTCTTGCAAGACGTCGGAGAGGCAGTCAAGATGGAGCGCGAGGCATGGAGCAAGTGAAGCATGGCTCAGAACAGTGCTGCGAGGGCTGGCTTTGCTTCTCGCTGCGCAGGGGCGCGGCGCACGTGCAGGCACACGCCTGTGCCCCTGACGGCGCGTCGATGAGCCGTGTTGCTCGGCAACGCGCGCCGCCGCCCGTCGTTGTCCAAATCGGGACGGCCGCAGCACCGCAGCGACGCTCAAGAGATGAAGCGTGCGGGCGGCGGCCAGCACGAGCACGAAGCGGCGTGCAAGCTCAGGCGGCAGCACACAGCCACAGCGCTCGCTGGCATCGAGAGCTGCGCGCTGCTGGCGCTCCCCTCTCGGCACCGGCGACGGCATTGAGGGCGGCACGCCACATTGAGCTCTTTGACGCAGATGGGCTGTGCGCTCTGGGTGCTGTGTGCTGCTGCTGCTGCGCTGGCACCCTTCGAGCGGCTTGCGCTCCTCTGCTCTGCTGCCCGGTGCCGAGTCGAGTGCTCCAGCGTTGAGGCGGCGGCGGAAGGGAAGGGCAAAGCCGTGCGCAGCGTGAAGAGAGGCACAAAGGAGGCCGGCGCTCAGTCTTCGCTGCCGCAGCAGCAGAGCGGCAGCGGCAGACCTACTTAAGGCCCTGACCGCAGCCGAGCATCCTTCCTCCCGTCCCCCACCCCCCTCACCCTTCCCGCCCCGTCCTTTGCCCGCACCCATCCCAAGCATCGCGCCGCCCGGCCCTGCCACGACTCCCGTCGTGTGTGGACGTGCAGCCGCACTTCTTGTCTGTGAGTACAAGCGCACCGGGTCTCAGCGTCGCCGTCTCGTCGCTGCTGCTGCATGCACCGCACGGGCCCCGTCTGTGCCCTCTGCCATTCGTCTCTGCAGCATCGCTGACACGCCCCTCACACGCCCACAGTCTTCCGTCTCGATCCCCTTCCCATCCCATCTACGCCCATCGACGGCGCTTCTCTCGCCGACGGCGCATCTTCTGTCCATAGTCCAGCGTCACGTTCATCTCCGTGAGTGTCTGCAAAGCGCGGCAGCGACGTCGAAGCGCCGCAAACGCTCACGCCCTCGTGCTCAGGTCTCGTTCTCGACCTTCTCTCCGCCGCCAACGCCGCATCTCACCATGCGTCGCGGCTTCCTCGTCTCGACGCCGCGCCGCGAAGCCGCTCCTTCTGCGGCCGCGGCTCCAGCAGGCCCCAGCTCGCCTGCAACTGGCGCAGCTTCGGCGGCTGCGGCCTCTTCGACCGCCGGCGGCAGCGGCACGCAGCCGTTCGTCCTGCGTCGCGGCTTCCTCGTGCCTGAGTCTCGCGCTGGCGCCGGCCCGACGCCTGCGGCAGCTCGTACTGGCGCAGCATCGGCTAGCGCAGCGGGCCCGACCCAAGCCTCCGCCAGCTCAGCCTCGAGCACGGCGCCGCGTTCAGGCGCGACCCAGAGTGCGCCGCCCGTCATTCCCTTTGCGATCGCCGAGGGTCTGAGCCTCGAGCCCGCTGCTGTGCTGTCACGCTTCAAGAACCGCGTGCGCGCGCTCCAAGCACGCTCAACGAGCATGAGCATGGACGACTACCCGTGGCCGTCGCCGGTCACCGAGTATCGCCACATCGAAGTGAACGATGTGCACCCGCTCCTGCGGCACATCAACGGCTCCGGTTTCGGGCCCATCAGAGAGCTGCACATTCCCTTTCCCGAGTCCAAGCGCGTCCTCAAGCTTCGGCCCGAGCTTGCTCACCGTGCCCGGCTCAACGCCGAAGTCGCCGAGGCAATGGCCGAGCTTCCCCTGGCGAGGGACCGGCGCGACTATGCCAGGGGCATTGAGGTCATCAACATCGAGCTGTTCAAGGGCGGCTGCGGCATCGTCAATCCGCCGTGGGCGAAGGAGTTCGGATCGAGCTACATCTGCCCGATCCTGCTGCACTACAACTCTAATCCCGCCGGGCTCGACGGCCCCATGTTCCACGTCGAGTTCCATGCGCCCAACACCGGCCTCGCCTATGCTCCGAAGCGTCTTGCAGGACCTCCGATCCGCTCGGTGGTGCCGGCTGGCATTGCGATGGTCGATGCGGACCCTGCCGACACGAACATCTTCTTCCACCAGATCGTCTACGAAATGCTCGACGCAGCCGGCCTTGACCCGCCGCTGCCGCACCTCTACAGGCCCGATCTCGTCCATCTCCAGCTGGCGCCCAGGATGTTCAAGCCGATCGTCACCCCTTGGCCGTCGTTCACGTTTGCCTCGAACGACATTGCCACCTCGTGGGCAGCTGCCGAAGGCTGGCAAGCTGCGTCTGGCTCGTACTCGCCGGGAAAGGACTATGAGCCTGGATGGTGGGCTGCGGACGAGTCGAGCGAGCATCGCTACCAGACCGAGCTCTACTTCGCCTCGCTCTTCTCGCCTGCAGCGGCGCGAGACGCTCTTCACCGCCTAGGGCTCAACCCAGCGAAGAAGGCAGTCTATTTTCGTTGGCACTGCCTTTGTCTACTCGTCGAGGGCGCGACGCGGCTTCGTTCGGACGGCTTTCTGGAAGCGGCTCTGCCCTTGCGTCTGCCTAGCACCAAGCTCGATGACCCGTGCGGTCTCACCGTCGAGAGCGAGTCGTCTGTCTGGGTGCCGCTCTTCACGGCTCATGCTCGTCGAGGCATGCTGAGCTCGGGGCCGTCCGTTTCGCAGCGTCTGTTTCACATGCACACCGTCGTCCTTTCCAGCATCCTGTCCACCGGCTTCTATCCTCCGACGCACGGCGAGCAGGAAGTGTTTCTGCGCCGAGAGCCTGATGCCGAGAGTGCCTCGCCGCTGTCCGGTCCTCCCAAGAATGAGACGACACACGTCCACACCGTACGACCTGCGCGCGCCGGCAAGCCTGCCGTGAAGCTCGTCGGACGCAGCGACGACCGCCTTCTCATCACCAGCGCCGACGCCGAGTTCGAGGGCCCTTATCTCGGCCACGGACGTGCTGCGGTGCGTCGATTCTCCCTCGCCGTGGCAGACGCCGCCAAGATCCAGGCCCTTCTTCGTCTGCCGGCCTACCGCCGCCTGATCAGCAGCGAGCAGCGCGCCAGAGACATCACGCTCCTCTCCATCCTCGATGCCTCGATCCGAATCGTCCAGGATCCCGTCTCTTCCTTCTTTCCTCTGTCTCAGTTCGAGGCCTTGCGCAAGCATGCTCGTGAAGGGCTGGCGTCGGACGCCGCGAACGGCATCGACCCAGCCACACGTTACAAGAAGACCGACGCCCCTGAGGCACAGAGCGACGGCGTGTCTCCGCCCGGTCCGACACGTGCGGCTTCTTCCTCTCACGACGTCGACGATCAGACGGCGTCTTCCGCTCCGGCAGCCCCTGCACTGCCGGAGGAGAAAGTAGCCGATCCTCACGCCAGCGCCAGTGATGCCGCTCTCGTCGATGTCCGCAGCGTCGCCGCCGACAGCGGCGCTGCTGCCGCCGGCGCTTCCGAGCACGTGCGTACTCGCCGAGCCTCTGTGCCGGCCTTGCCCTCGCAGGCCCCGCCGCCGTTGGAGGTCGACGCGGCTGCATCCCCGGCCACCTCCGAGCCGCACGGCCTCCCGATGCTTGCAGCCGCGCCTCCTCCTGGTGATGAAGCATACATCGAGCTCACCCGTGAGTTCGAGAGGCAAGACGGCTCTGCTCACTGCTGACTCTACGTCCACCAGCCGACTTCCTGCGGGCTGCTGCTGAGGCGTTGGGCCCAGCGCTATCCTCTGCAATGGATCTCACCAGCGCTATGCAAGTCGCTCCAGCACGTCCTGCGCTCCGTGAGTCTTGCTCAGTCCCGGCGCCGGCGGCCGCTGACACACGCGTGCCAGAACATCAAATCGCGGCCAGTCCTGGCAAGCTGTCAGCCCGGCTCTGGCGCAAGTTGCCAGCCGAGATCAAGGTACGCCTTGTGCAGGCGCGAGCAGGCTAACTGATTCAGCTGACACCAAGAAAGGTTCTCATCCTAGAGCACTGGCTCGACACTCCGCCCGAGCCTCGCGTTTTCAGGAAGAGCGAGGCTCGCCGCCGCGCACTGCTGCTGGCGCAAGTTGGCAACAAAGCTGTGAGACGTGCTGAGTTCGATCGCACATGTGAAAGCTCCTCTCACCTGCCGCTTCTTCAGCTCCTCGCGCTTGCGCGTCAGCGTCTGTGGAGCCGACCGGACATTGCGTGGGAAAGAGCGAAGAAGGGCGCCAGAGGCTCTGCGCTCAGGCTGCTGCGAACCCAGGCGCCGCTCGTGAGCAAAGCACCGAGCTCAGGCGCTTTGAGGCTTCTCGCTGATTGTACCTGTCGCCAGGCGCCGGCTATCATGCCGATCGTCAAGCATCTCAACAGACCCATGCCCAAGGGCGCAGAAGATGACTTGGAGAAAGTCGAGACGCTCGCACGATCCGTCATGCGCGACTTCCCCGCCCTGCGCACGCTCGCTCTGCAGGTGAGCAGAGTGCATCGGACGTGAGTCGAGGCCGCGCTGACAGCATTGCAGAGCACGACAAACGACTGGCCCGTCTCGGTATGTGTTGTGGCGCGACGTGTCTGGCATGCTCTGACTGTCGTGCTCTCCTCCAAGCTGCTGCTCGAGCGTCCAGAGGGAGGCGACGTCACGCGCATGTCTTTCTACGGCTCCCACTTCCGATCTCTCCGACCGCTCCTCCTCAGTACGTGGTGCTTTCTCGCCACGCGCACTCGCGACTGACTTGGCCCGCAGACTGCAGCTGCAGCTCACCGGAGGGCGACGGCGGCGACACGCCATGCGCGCGCAAGTACCCCTTCCAGCAGCTGGAAGAGCTCTCCTTGACGGTCTGGGACCTCTGCACGGCCGCCGTCGATGCGATCCTGCACACCCTCACTCCGCTGCTGTTCTGTCCGCCGGCTCGTCTTCGCTCGGTGATCCTCCGCGTAGCACGCCACGACCGTGAGTCTACTGGCGCAGCCTCTATGATGCCCGCTGACCCTAGGCTGATCGGCACAGGGTACAATGGCACCTTCGGCGTCGCGTCCGATGACCGTGCCGACTCCTGGCAGCGTCTTCTCTGCTTCGCGCACAAGCAGAACGAGACGCCGTTCCATCTCTCGGATTTCAGCGGGCAGCGGACGTGCTCGGGTGGTCAGACCAACCCTGGCCCCGTCAGGATCTACGTGACGGACCTCACCGTACGTGTGCTCGCAGCGTCATTGCACTCTTGCATCCCGCTGACCCCTCCTCTCCTGCTGCACAGGGTGTCGATGAGACGATCTCGCCCGCCAAGACGTCTGCCCGCATGGCGCAGAGCGAGCAGCGCTCCATCGCGCTCGGACAGCCGTCCGTTTGGTCATTCAGCGAGCACGTCAACGCCACGCTGCCCGACCACGAGGGCGAGCGCATCCTCGCCTCTCTCTGGGTCCCCGACGGCGATGAGGGTCGCTTCCTTAACGATGCCAGCGAGCTAGACGCGTGGGTCTCGCTCGAGGAGGACCCGGACCGCTGCGAGCACCCCGAGGTGGGCCCGGAGCATGATGCATCCCCGCCGGCGTCGGTGCAGGCCGCGTGCGCCGACGGCTGGACCGTGGGCATCCGCTGTGTGCCCACCCTCGCCGGCCACAGGCGCCACATCACCACGGAGATCACCATCAACTCAACGGTCTGTGCGTGCGGCATGGTGCACTAGCTGCGCCGGCTCCGCCGCGTCAGCCGCGAGCGAGAGCCGTTCGGTGGCCGCGGGCAGTTCCCGCCGTGCACGTCGTCCCAGGCCCGCTCGCTTTCCGCTGCCGTCTTTGGCGGCGAGCGAGAGCCGTTCGACAGCGCGCCGCCGTGCACGTCGTCCCAGGCCCGCTCTCTTCCCGTTCCCTGTCTTGTCACGACCGTCTTGTCCCTCTTACCTCACGCGATGCAACCCTCTTCACCCTCCGAGAGACTGGGCTCGTCGGACTTGGCGTCCGCTGCGCGAGAGAGCATGTGTTTTGCGGCTGAAGGGCAGCGCACAGGCAGCTCGGGAGGAGGGCGCTGCCGGAAGCACGAGCGAGCCTTCACGTCTCTCATGACTCTCCCGCGCGGCGCAGATGCCCTTGAGGCCGCGAGCTAGTCATCCTCACTCACGCACGGCGCCGAATGATGTGGCGACGCATCTCGGCACTGTCGCTGCAGAGTCGGCAGTCGAAGCTCTAGGCAAGGTGCAGCAGGGGTGCACCAGGGCAACACACGAAGCGCCACCGCTTGCAGGACAGGAGCCAGAGTGCGAGTTTAGTCCAGTCGAGTGCGGACGCAGGGCGAACAAGGCATGCGTCGTCGACTCACTCGACTCAACATGATGCTTGCTGCGCGCGCAGCTCTCCAGCAGCATTCAGCTCTTTGTCCTCGCGCTCGCCGCATCCGCGCCGCACGGCTGTCATGGGCGAATGGGCGTCGAACACAGCAGAGCAGCAGTCTCGGTACTCAGGCACCTCGAAGCGCGAAGAATATACCGTGATCTCTGCTGCCTCGATCCTGCGTGGTTGCGCTCCCTTGTTGGTGCCCGGCACGAGGGCTGCCGGTCTGGCCACCGAGTCCGCCGAGCGGTTTCTTTGTGCGCGCTCGAGCCCCTTTGTCGGGTTCGACTAGCGGGCTCCCCAGGAGCTTGCAGTAGCAGGCTCAGCAGTCAGTCGGCGGCCGCATAGCAGCAGTGGAGCGCCGACTGCGCATCACGAAGAGGAGGCCCGGGCGCAGCGAGGCGGCGTCCCGTGCGTGCGGCTGAAGATGGCCAACTCTGGCTGGACTGCCGCTTGGTCGAGCGCGAGCTGTAAAGCGGCCCCCATGATGAGACCAAGGCTCGTCTTTCCTTCATCACCCCCTCCGCCTCCTCCCACCCCGCAGCCACTCATGCGGCGCGGCTTTCTGACGCCGCAGGCGCCTCACCAGCCAGCCCCGTCCGCCTCAGCTGCTGCTCCGCCCGGCGAACATGGCCGGCCTGGATCAAGGACTCCGAGCTCTTCGATGCCTCGCGGACAAGAGAGAGACGCCGACCTGAGCACGTTGGGACACGAATACTTCTCGGCCGTGAACACGCCGATGGCCTTGGCCTTGCTTGAGGCGCTCGACGCACCGGACCCGGAACCAGAAGAGCTCGAAGCCTTCGAGAATGGCAAGAACTCCTTTCTGGACTACATGGCTGTCTGGCCTGTACTGATCAAGCGCTACTACGGGCGCGTGCAACTCGCAAAGATGGGCCGTATGGAACCAGCGGACGAGTCTCCGGTCGACATGTCAGTCTTCGACGCGGACATGCCGGGTGAGCAGGCGGTCTCCACCCTGGCCTTCGTCCTCGATTGACGTAAAATACCTTCTAGATGCTCTTCTGGAAGCGAGTCTGGCCGACCCGGGCCCTCAGCCAGTCCTGTCTATGCGCACGGTCAGCGCTATGCAAGTGACGCTCAGAGACTCGCAGAAAGGATCCCGCTGTGAGTGCCGTTGAGGCGCAAGGTGGGTCATGGTAGGGCCAGAACTGACCGCGTGGGGTTCCACTTCAAAGTCACACCGACGCCTGAGGAACTCAAGCCCAAACTTTGGGCAAAGGCTCCCTTTGATGTCAAGGCAAGTGCCCTTGAGTGAAGGTTGTGCTTACGGAACTTGAGCTCACGGACCTCCAGCTCCTCGTCCTAGCAGAATGGGTCCAGGGTTCAGCAACGCGCATCTTGCGTCGGAGCGAGGCCCGCCGACGCGCTGTAGTCCTGGCAGGCGTTGGAAACAAGAACGCGAGTCTAGCCTAGCCCTTCGCGAGGCAATCAAATGGCTCACAGATCATGTTGCAAAGCTGCTCGAGCTCGCTCGTCGTCAGCTTTGGAGAAGGCCGGACATCGCCTGGCCAACAAGCGGCGCCCTCACGTTGTCGCAAGTGCGCGAGCCCGTCATTGCCTAGCCAAATCCTGTCTCATCCTCCATTGCCGTCTCATCCTCCATTGCCGCCGCAGAGCCCTCACATCGCTCCTCTGATACAGCACTTCAACCACCCAGGGCTACCGCGCATGAAGATGATTGGAGAGCTCAACGCGCTTGTGAATGAGTGCTGTGACACGTATCCCAACTTGCGCACCTTGGTAGTCGAGGTAAGATTGTTGCGTGACGGCTCCGCACCGCTGTAGCTGACTGCACAGCAGAGTCCTTCGGACAGACATCCTTTCTCTGTAAGTCAATCGCCAAGAAAACGGATACATGCTTCTTAACAGACTTTTAGCTACTGGTCGAGCGAGCTGCTGGGGCCGGCATTACAAGCCTATCACTTTACGGCGCATCGGTTGGTCTTGACGTGCTAGTGCAGGGTTAGTGGCGTCCGAGCCCCGTTGGTGCCCGCTAATGACGCCTGCACCTGGTTCTACAGTGCCCGGGCCCGATCCGATGATCTCTGACTCCTCCACTCTGGCAAAGCGGTGGCCGGATCTCGAGCGCGTGTCTCTTACGGCGTGGGCCGGAGGATCGATGCTCTTTGCCTCCCTCATCACCTCGCTGGCCTTCATTCTCAGTGATCCTCCGCCAAAGCTGCGTACAATTGTGCTGCGCGTGGCTCGCCACACCGGTGAGCCCTCTCCAGAGACTGGTCTCCTGAGGCGCCGCTCACCTGCGCTGCTAGAGCTCAACGCCACATTCGGCGCGGAGAGAATGCGTGAAGAAGCGTGGAAGGGGCTCGTCAGCTTCGCGTGCCGACAGAACGTGTCTCCTCTCCACCTGCGTCCCGGAGTCGAGGCCAGCCTGGAGGCTCTGCTGGAGCACCGAAGCAGCAGAGCCCCGGGAAGACACCCTCGGATCTACATCGCCGACCTACTTGGTGGCGACGAGAAGGCGCAGCCCTCGCAACTTCTGCGGCGTCTTGCGAAGAGCGAGCAGCGGTCGCTTGCCGTTGGAGAGCTTGGCGTCTGGGCCTTCAGCGAGCACGCCAATGCCACGCTCCCAGATCCGGCGTGCGACAACATACATGCCTCAGTGCTCATTGAGCAAGGAGGTGAGCTACGTCTTGTCAACGACTCTTCTGCGACGGACAGTTGGGCAGCGCTTGACGGCCTCGATGAATGTCGGTGCCCGGACACCAGCGCGGAGCACAGCACGTGCCCGCCGCAAGACCTTGCTGCGGCCGTGAGGCGTGGCATTGCCAACAGCTGGCGCTGCATTCCTACGCTGTCTGGTCGCAGGCGCCACATACGCACGGTTACGCGCTTCGGACCCGGTCATTCAGGGCAGTGAAGAGCACGAGCCAATCTCGTCGCCTCGCGATGCGTTATCCCGCGCTTCGGCAGCCCGCAAGTCCCGTCGCCGGCCGGTGCGGTCCTCTGTGCTTAAGCATCGTCAATTTCAGGCTTCCTCACGAGCCATGAGTCCGTTCCGTAAATGTATGAGTGCCCGATGCTGTGATGAATGGCGCACCTCGAGGTGTGGCAGGCGCAATCCAGACGACGAGGCGCCGCGCACGCTCGAGGTGCGCACGGCGCACCTCCACATCGGCTGCGCGTGGACCCTCTCCTGCATGCTGACACTCCCTCGTGCGGCGGCTTTGTCTCCTCGGCGCTGCTGCACAACTTCCTTCTCACCCTCACCCCAGACCACTCCACCACCTCCCCCTTCCTTCGCCATCATGTCTGCCCTCTCCTCCGACGACTTCGCAGGTGAGCTGCGCGATGCACCGACCACAGCGCGGCACGCAGCTGACGCGCTGCTGCAGTCATGCTGCAGACGCACCTCGCGGGCCAGCAGAGCAGCGGCGTGATCAACAACGTGGCGCTGTTCGACAAGGACACCAAGGCCGCCGTCGCGACGTGAGTGCGCCGGGCTGCTGCAGCGGGGCCCTGCTGACCAACCACGCAGCACGCTGCCGTCCTTCGCCACCGCGTTCAAGGCCGAGCAGCTCGAGAAGCTCCTCGATATCTTCACAAGTCTCTCTTCGCCCGCTGCGCCGAAGCTCGACGCCAGCGAGATCGAGCTGGCCAGCTCGACGTACACGCTCAGCGGCCCGCGTGGCGCCCAGCACCCGCTCGAGATGGCCACGCTGCACTCGGAGACGGTGAGTGGTCTGCAGACCGTGCAGCTTGCCTCTGGCTGACGCGCAACGCCAGAACGTGCTGTTCATTACGTTGTCGGCCACGCTCATGGTCGTGTTCGAGGCCGCGCCCGGCGCCGACACGCAGGAGAAGACGCCGGCCAAGGAGGCCCTCTACTCCGCCGTGCGCAGCTTCACGATGGCCATCACGGAGAAGGGCGTCTGAGCGGCGCGCAAATGAAAGCATAGTTGTGTCACAGCACGCCCCACAGCTTCCATGTCCGGCCCCACTCGCCGCTCGCGAGGTACTTGCCGTCGGGCGAGATGTCGACGGACATGACCTTGCCGGCGTCGCCCGAGAGCGAGCGCAGGCAGGCAAAGTCGTCGGCAGACCAGACGCGCACGAAGCCGTCGTAGCCGGCGGTGGCCAGGTACATGCCGCTGCGCGGCAGCTGCAGCGTGGCGCCGGCGGCAGGTGCGTCGCCGTTCTCGCCGCGCGCCTTGGCGTCGCCGTTCGCCTCCTTGTCCTCGTCGGGCATCGAGCCGCGCGCCGCCGCGCCCTCGTCGGCGGCGCGGAAGAAGCGCACGTCGGCGACAGACGAGCGGTGCGCGGGAATCGTCGAGATGGAGCGCAGCGCGCGCATGTCCCACACGCGCACCGTGTCGTCGCCCGAGGCCGTGGCCACCTGGAAGCCGTTGGGCGCAAAGTCGATGCTGAGGATCTCGCGCGCGTGGCCGTCGAGCACCATCGCCGTGCGCCCAGTCCGCAGATCCCACACTCGCCCGATGGCGTCGAGGCCGCTGAGAGATACTCGTCAGCGGCGTGCCTGGCGCCGAGCCGTCGCTCCACTCACCCGCTGGCCACAAGCGCTCCGTCGTCCTGAAAGTCGATCGCATAGACCTCCTTCGAGTGGCCCTCCTGCAGCAGCAGCTCGTTCTGCTTCTCCACGTCCCACAGCCGCCATGTGCCGTCGAAGCTGGCACTGGCCACGTACGCGCCGCTCGGGTGCCATGCTGTCCGGGCTACTCGTGCCTCGTGTCCCTTCAGCGTCGCAAGTGGCCGGTCGCTGCGCAGGGAGATCGAGGTCAGAGGCGCCGTCTCGTCGCTCACACCCGGCACACGCACCTCGTGAGCGACCAGAGCTGGACAGTGGCGTCGCCCGCGCCCGTCACGAGATTGGCCGCAGACGCATCGAGTCCTTTTGTCGCTTGCGGATGCCAGGCGATGCCTCCGACCTTCTCAGTGTGGCCTGCGACACAGCCATGAGCGTCGCCGAGGCACACGTCCGCAGATCACTCACCCCGCAGCGTGGCCCGCTCCTTGGCCGCAGGCACCTCCCACAGCTTGACGCTGCCCGACCAGCTGCCCGCCGCAAGCAGCCGCCCAGACCCCTCTGGCGTCGACGTGCCTGGCGAGAAGCGCACGACGGAGATCGGCCGCGTGTCGCCTATTTGCGAGCCGAGGCTGGTGAATTGCTGGGGCAAAGAGGGCATCAGACGCCGCGCCTCGCGCAGATACCTGCCTCGCCGCTCACCTTCAATGGCTCGAACAGCGCCTTGCGCTGGGCGACGATCCGACTCAGCGGCACTGTGGCCTCCACACGTTGCCGCGCGACTCTCGCTTTTGCGCTATCGGCTGGTCAGCTTCACAAGCAGATGTCGTTCAGTGCGTCAACTCACGCAACAAGAGAGGTCCGAGCGATGGACTGGCGGGCGCGAAGCAGCGCGTCCGTGCCCTCTGTGAAGAACTCCTCTTCTTGCTGCAGGCGGATAGCGGGTCAGCAGAGTCCGGCCGAGCCCAGCAGCACAAAGCATGTGCGCTGATGCATGCAAGTTACGGCCGGCCAGCGCAGGCGGCGCGAGTACGAGTCACACTCACCTCTTCCTCCTCGCTCTCCTCGCTGACGACACTCTCAGCCTCCTCGCCCTCCTGCTCCCGGCGCTGGCCCTCCTTGACGAGCTCCTCGCGCAACCGCTCTCGCCGGTCTGGCCTCCGCTCTCCGAACAGCGTGATGGGCTGCCCGAGCTGGCGCAGCCGTTGCCGGACCTTTGCGTCGTCGGTCGGCACGGCGAGGCTGCGCGCAGTCTTGCGCGACTCGAGCGCAGCGACGAGGGCGGCATCGGCGTCGCGTGCTCGCGAGATGGACGCATCGAAGCCGGGCGCCGGCTGCGTGTCTGTGCAAGACGGCGGGTCAGTCTGCCGGCCAGCCGAGCGGTGCGGCACACGCACCGAGCTCATCGGCATCGATGCCGCCGGCAAAGGGCACGTCGTCGAGGTTCATGTCCGCCATGCTGCTAGCGCCTCCGATGGACCGCGGACAAGTGCCGATTCAGAAGATGCAGCGCTTCCGCAGGCGGACGGACGAGCGATGAGACGGGAAGAGGGTGCGCAGGGATGTGGTTGTCGGGACGGTGGAGGCGCGGCGGCGCCATGCCCGCCTTCTTCGCGCGACCGGCTCCGCTCAGCGCGCGTGGGAACAGCAGCAGCTGCTCCACGCCTCCCCGCCTCACGCATCCTGTCTGCCCTCCTCACACTTGCGCAGCAGACATGCACAGGCCCGACACTGGCCGCATCGGCTGCTCTGGACGGAACACTGTATTGTTGCGTAAAAGGCATGATGAAAATATGGGCATGCAGCGGACGCAGCACGGCGCACGGCGGGCAAGGGTGACATGAGGCGGAGGCGCAGTCTGTCGGCAGGGACACAGCCGACGAGGTGAGCGGCAAATAGACACACGGCAGAGCTCAGCGGGCGGCGATACGCCCAAAGTAGAGGATGTACGGACTGCTGCTGTTCTGTAGGGCGTGGGACCAGGAGGCGTGAGCAAGGAGCAAGCTTGCTGTTCTGCGAGCGACCTCACCTGCAGCTCTTTCAGGTCGGACCGCTTCGTGACGCGGCTGTCGTCGGCGTAGTACCAGTCGCCGCCGGAGCGGATCGAGGCCGTGTAGTGGCCCGTGTTGAGACTGCGGCGAGGCGTCAGCAAGAGTGCCGTGGACAGCCGCGCTCTACACGGACCTGCCAAAGTGGTGCACGACGCCCTGCAGGCGGTACAGATAGGGCGGCTGCTGGCTCTGGCTCGTGGGCACGCCCTTCGGCAGGATCCCCGGGTGCGGCGGCATGTAGTTGGTCAAGTCGAGCGTCTCGTTGATCGGAAAGTCGACGAGCGTCTGCACCTTGTCCGTGCCGCGCGCAAAGGCGAAGCGCTTGAGGTGCACGAGCAGGATCTGCGCCAGGCGTCAGCACTGAAGAGGGCGAGCACGCCGCGGCTGAGGCTCACCTGCGGCAGGCGAGAGATGGTGAGGCGCTTGCTGGCCTTGCGCATCTTCTTGCACGCGGGGCAGTGCCACATGTCGGCCTTGTCCATGACCTCCTCGCGAACGAACGCGTCCAGGCACTGATGCAGCGTCACCTTGGCGCCGCGGTTGTGCGCAGGAATCGGCAGCGAGAGGTACATGAAGGCGTTGTACGTCGTGGAGGTCTGCGCGAGGGTCAGCACATGGCCGCGCGCGAGGCCCGTCAGACTCACCTTGCCGCACGTCAGGCAGCTCATCTTGTTGCGGAACTGCCCCTGGAACCAGTCGACGATGAGCGAGTCGTTGCGCTGGCGGTAGATGCTCCACTCCTTGACGCTCGCAATCTGCTGCGACAGCGTCTCGAGCTCGTGCTCGCGCGCCGGCGTCATCTCGACGGGCGGCGGCTTGTGCACGACGTGGTTGAGATCCTCGTGCAGGCCGTCGAGCAGGAATGCCAGGAACTCCTGCGCGTCGTGCTGGTCGTAGCCGCGGAACGCCGGCGCAAAGCGCGTGATGGCCTCGCGGAACGTGACGGGCGAGACAAACGTGAACTGCTCGGACCACATGACGCGGATAAGCTGCGCAAACGCCTCGGCGAGAGCGCCTTGCGTGCCGAGCGGGTTCGTGCGGTTGATGGCGCGCTTGTAGCTCCCGTCTGTGGCTGCCGCGTCAGTTGTGCGGCCAGGAACAGAGGAGCGACAGGACTCACCCAGCATGAAGCGCGCCAACGGCACCGTCGCACTGAGACACTGCAGCGTCGCGTTCATATAGCAGCTGTTGCCCACATTCTTCAGCCCCGTCAGGCCGATGCGCGCGTTCTCGTTCGCGCCTGCTCGGCTCTCTGGCGCCGCTGTGCTCGCGGAGTAGCTCAGGCTGCGGTTGCTAGGATCGGCGGCAAAGGATGAGGGCGGGCGGCGAGCGATGTCGAGCGAGCCGGTGCCGTTGCGCATCGCCATGCCGCCGAGGGAGGATGAGTGCGAGTGGGCGGCGGCGCGTGTCGACGCGACGCCGTTGGACGCCGCAGCCATCGGTGGCGGTGTGAGCGCCGGCGAGCTTGCGAGAGCTGCACTGGCAGATGTTGCGCGCAGCTGCGGGTACTCGAAGCCGTGACTCGGGCCGTCCGGGCGATGCAGCGGCTGCCCGGAGAAGGGAATCGACGGCTGCGAAGAGAGATAGTCGCTCTGCCGGCGCGACGACGACGCCGAGCTGGGCGTGGGCGGAAAGGAAGGCGCACCCGCGGGCGGCGTGGCCATGGCGCCGCTGCCCATGCCCGACGCGGACTGATACGCTCGTGCTGGCAGAGAAGGGGGAGCATAGCTCTGCGGCGGCTGCGGGGCGCGTGCGAGCGGCGGAGGCGTAGGCATGGCCGAGTCGTAGGCCGCGCCCATCACGACGCCCTGCCGCCGGGCTCTCCTCGCCTCGTCCTCCTGCTGCTGCGAAGGCGATGGTGACATGGCTGCGCTGGCCTGGATAGGCCGCAGCCCGGCCAGCCCAGAAGCGCCCACCTTGCGCGCCCACGACTGCAGGCCGCCGATGAGCAGCACCGGATGATGCCTCAGGGGCCGCGAGAACTCCAGTTCGTAGATGGCGCGGAAGACGGTCACGAGCGTGCGGTGTGCCTCGAGCACCTGCTGGCCGAGCTCGGGCGGTGGAGGTGCGAGCGTGCGCGACTGTGCGTCGTACACGACGACGAGGTCGTACGTGTGACGCGCAGCGAAATTCGAGCACTCGGCAGGCGATGCCCCGCTCGCAGCGAGCAGCTCAGAGATCTCCTCCGGGCGCATCCTGAGGAGAGCTTGGGTGAGCAAGCGCAACACGATGCCGGTCAGACGCGTGCAGCTCGGCGCAGCACTGACCCGTCACGAAGCCGCGCAGCATCGAGCCCGACGCTGTCGCCCGCAATGTGGCAGTCCTCCCATGCCTGGCGGCCCTGGCGCACATCGATGAGCAGAATGGAGCGTGCCCTGCGCTTCACGATGCGCGACCCGCCCTCGGCAGCCGGGTCGGAGACCGTCACGTAGCCGGGGTTCATCAGCATCCACAGCTCTTCCACGCTGACCGAATTGGTGCGAGGCAGCGCCGGCCCATCGGTGGCAGCGGCATGCGTGGACAAGGCCAACGACCCTCGCTCGCCAGCCGGGCCCTCCAGATGCTGCGTGGCTGGCGACGGGACGCCCTGCGGCGGAGGCGGCGGCGGCGGGAGCGGTCGTGGAGGCGCGACCGGCGGTGACCGCGGCGCCGGCGCGCTCGCCTCGAGCTGCTCCAGCGGAGGATACTGGCTGTGGAACTCGGAGGGCGAGACGATGTGCGTCTTGTACTCCCAGTCGTGGGTGCTCTCCAGGCTCGGACTCATCGCGCCGGCGCCCGGATAGTGCGTGTCCAGCGCAGGCAGGGGTGGCGGAGCGCGCGCTGGCGAGTCCGGCGGCGGCGGCAGTGTAGACGCAGCATCGCCGTCTGTCGGCACGCGCGAAGAGAGCCGGGCAAGATCTTGCCGATCTGAGCCGGCAGCCATGCTGAGGTTGCGCGCATTGACCAGCCCGCCGTCTGTCCGCGGACTGCCCTCGCCAGACGCCGCACGCAAGTTGCTCAGCCGCTCCGACAAGCTCAGCAGCTGATCGTCCGATCGCAGGCCGGGCGATGCCTTGGTAGGCGACGCTATTGCGGGCGCACCAGGCGCCTGCTCGGAGCGAGTAGGGGTGGCGCTGCCGTCGCTCGCCGCGCTCTCGGACTGCGCAAGGGCGTGCGAGCGCGCCTCTTCCCGCGCCTCCTCTCGCGCCTGCAGCTGAGCCTCAAGCCGCGTGGTGCGCTTGATAATGTCGGGCACTTGGCCCATGAAGTCCTGGTAGCGGTAGAAGACTGGCGGCCGCGTGGCTAGCACAGTCGGCCACTCGGCATGCTTCGGGATGAAAGTCGCGACGCTGCGAGGACGAGGTCAGCAGAGTGTCGCCCGGAGCGTGCAGGCCCAATCCGCTGGCAGCGCCTAGTGAAGCGGCCAAGCTGCCGGCGCTCCTCTGGCTTGAGACGGTGTAGCACTCACTTGGCGCTCTTCAGATAGTTGACAAAGGCCTGCTCGAGATTGTTGCCCGCCTCTGCGGACTGCGCCTTCTCGAGTAGGGCGTTGGCTGCGCCGATGTAGCTCTTGATCGAGTACGTCGAGTCGAGCTCTGCACGCGCCGCTCGCCGCAGGTTGACGGGATGATTCGGCGACGAGCGCGCATCTCTCCGCGGCGCAGCGGCTGCGCCGAGGCTGCTGCTGCTGGCATGGTCGCTCGCGCCGCCGTTTGCGCCGTTCGATGTGCGGGTGCTGCGGCTACCCGGCGGCGGTGACGCTGCGGATGCGGCTGCCACGCGCGAGCTCGACGCCGAGACGAGCGCTGCCAGCCCGGCCGACGACGGCGGCGGCCCGAGGCCTGCAGACATGTGGCCGACGGCAGGCGTGGCGAGGCGGACGCAAGCCTCAGCCCGGCGGTGGAGACGGCGCGCGACGTGCCTGGTGCAGCTCAGCACCGCAGCAGCACGTGGAGGGCCACAGCCGAGGCGGGCCAGTCGTCACGCAGACGCCGGCGGCGACTGTCGCGGGGAGCGCCGCTCGCAGCGCAGAGGTGCGCAGTAGGCGTGGGCAGCGTGCGTGCCGGGGGCTGCTGCACGAGGCGGGAATGTGTGGATGGCGAGGTGGGAAGCCAAGGCAGAGGCGCGCTCTGGGCTGCTGCGCCGGCGGCGCGTCTTGTCCAGCGCAGGCGCGCCTCGCTGTCGCCGAGCCGCCGCCGCGCCCAGGCCACGCACAGCCCCTCATGAGCGCGTGGGAGCACTCCACACGTGACGCGCCCGGCGCTGGCGGCCTTGCCTGGAGGCTCAGCCTAGCGCGGCGCTGCACCGGCAGCAACCTCCAGCGATGCAGCGCGACCCAGCCCAGCACCGGCGCTCGGGCTGTCACGTCTCGGGACCTCTCGCAGATCAGCGTCGATTCAGGATGCCGAGCATGCTGCTGAGGCTGCAGCCAGCGTGCGTCAGCCGCAGCCTCGTCCCAGGGGCGAGTCTCTCGATGCTGCGGCTGGAGTGGAAGTGCAATTTAGCCTTCTGCTTGCTCCCCGCACTCGACTCCGCACCCGAGGCGCGAGTCACGCAGGGCGCGGGTGCAGCGGCAGTCACGCGCGCCAGGCGCACGAGCCCGGCGGCTGCGGAGCCGGCATGCCCCGGCCTGGCCGCAGCGCTGCATGGTCCCCGCACCGATCCACGGCGGGTCCGCTGCCGCACCGCTCGTCCTCCCACCACCACCTCCGCAACGCACACCTCGCCAGGGCAAGCACCGCTGCATCACCACAACCGCGCGCCTGGACCGCTCGGCAGCGCAGCCCTTCCCCTCTCGTCTGCTCCTCCACACACCGGGCGCCAGGCCCGCGACGCCCCGGCTGGCACGCACCCATCATGTGAGCTGCAGCCGCACTCGCCCCGCCGAGGCCAGACGTCGCTGACCTCGCTGCGCGCAGGGCGTATCAAATCTCGCGGCGAACATGGTCGCAGCTGCACCACTTCGCCTCGTTTCCGCAGACGGGCATCAGCCTGGCGCAGATGGTCGCGTTCGGCAAGAACCGCAACCCGGGCACTATCATGCAGGCCGGCCGCTTCCTTGCTGGTGCGTGCGCTGGCTGCTGCAGCGGCACAGAGTGCACGCGAGCGCCTTTGTCTTGTATGCTTACCCACGTGCGCAGAGGAGCTGCCGATCCGCCTGGCACACCGAGTCAAGGAGCTCGACGAGCTGCCAAACGGGCTCAACGAGATGCCGAGCATCATCCGCGTCAAGGACTGGTACGCGCAGAGCTTCGAGGTATGTCGAGACCCGAGTTTGCTTAGGGTGGCCTCGAGCTGCCAGCTCGAAGCTTCGTCTGACACCCTGGGCGACCTCCAGGAGCTGGTCAAGTTCCCGCCGCCGCAGCTGCCCGACGCTATCCGCGCTGAGCTGTCCGAGTCCGTGTCGCGGAATCCGGCCTCGCTGCCAGGCTCGACACCAAATCCGTCGCTCTCTGCCGAGGGCGCAGAGCTGGAGGAGGGCCGGGATGCCGCCATGAGCAGCTGGCGCATGCGCGAGCGCGCTCGCAACATCGCAGCTGACTCGGCTGCGTCTGATGACGGCAAGGTGGGCGACGATGTCGTCGCGGAGCTGGGTGGGCCAAAGGATCGCAAGCGGCAACCGATCGACCGGAGGTGAGAGTCTGCATCGAGGAGTGACGGAAGAGCGCTGCAGCAGGTGGAAGCGATGCCGCGCTGTCGAGGTGCAAGCGCCGCACGCGCAGCTGCCCCAGCGCGCTGTTGCCGCCCGACTGACCACGGCCGCCGGCAGATACTATGCAAACCACGCCAACATCAAGTCGTGGCCGCCAGAGGTGCACGACTACAACGAGTCCTTTACGCGCTGTCTCGAGACGATCAAGAAGCGGCACGACGCCGTTGTGACGACTGTCGGTGAGTGCACACGCTTTGTCCCTCCCTCGCCGGAGTCGTGACTACGCGCGCCAGCGAGTCGCGTTCTCCTGGCTGAGTCAGATGGTGGTGCTGGGTTGCGGTGCTGTCAGAGGCCCCCCCACATCCGAGTCCCTGCTTCCTTCGGCCCTTCTCGCCGGCGTCTTACGCAATCGACCCACCCCTCTACCTCCCATCGCCGGTGCCACTGCGCTCAGCCCAAGGCGTGCTCGAGTACAAGCGCGCACGGCGCGGGCAGAACATCCAGGCCGACGTGCAGCGCTTCCTCGACCGCTTCTACATGTCGCGCATCGGCATCCGCATCCTCATCGGCCAGCACATTGCGCTCGCGCGCACCAACCCAGAGACGCCCGCATCGCTCGACGGCGAGCCGCTCGGCTCGAGCGGGCGCATCGGCGGGCAGGAGCCGGAGAAGTACGTGGGCATCATCTGCACCAACACCAATGTCGGCGCCATGGCGCACGAGGCGATTGAGAATGCGCGCTTCATCTGCGAGGAGCACTACGGCCTCTTCAAGGGCCCGCCCGTGCAGCTCATCTGCCCGCCGAACCTGACGTTCATGTGAGTGGAGCCTGGCCCAGCGCGCGGCGCATCATTGACCCTGTTGGCTCTGGCAGGTACGTGCCGAGCCATCTCAACGTGAGTCAAAGCCCTCTGCGCCGCCCGGCTGCGCCGACTGACGCGCGCGCCTCAGCACATGATGTTCGAGCTCCTCAAGAACTCGCTGCGCGCCGTCGTCGAGCGCTACGGCGTGGAGAACGAGGACCACTTTCCGCCGATCAAGGTCATCGTCGTCGAGGGCAAGGAGGACATCACGATCAAGATCAGCGACGAGGGCGGCGGCATCCCGCGCAGGTGCGTGCTTGGCATGCAGCGCGCCTTGTGCCTCGTTTGCTGACTCAGGCAATGTGCAGCGAGATGCCGCTGGTTTGGACGTACATGTACACCACTGCGCAGTCGGAAGACCTCGGTGAGTCGCCAGCAGTCTCGCAATGCGGCGCGCGCTGACACCTCGCCAGACCCCGACTTCCAGGCCTCCGACTTCAAGGCGCCCATGGCCGGCTTCGGCTACGGCTTGCCGCTGGCGCGCCTGGTGAGCTCCTCGTGCGCTGCGAGTAAGAGCGCTTGCTCACGACCCACGCTTCGCAGTACGCGCGCTACTTCGGCGGCGACCTGAAGCTGATCTCGATGGAGGGCTACGGCACGGGTGCGTGCGCTTGCAGGACGAGTGTACCCAGCGCGTTGACTGACAGCGCTTCTCTCGCTCAGATGTGTACGTGCACCTGGCACGTCTGAGTGGATCTGCAGAGCCCCTGCCATGAGGCGGCTCCGATCGCTGTGCTGCGGCCGTCAGGCCTCTGTAATTGTACCTGTTTCCTGCCAATGGCGCGCGATCGGCGAGGCTCAGGCGTGCAGGCTACGCTATGCGTCCATTACAGAAAGTCGTCATCGAACGCCCACTGCGAACGGTCGTCGCCGGCGAATGCACCGGCTCGTGAGGGCGGCGCGCTGCCTGGTGCCGCTCGCTCCACCCGTCGTATGGCGCGGCCGGGCAGCATGATGAGGCCGCGCCAGCATCGCGACTCCTGCGTCTCGCCGCCTTCGCCTCGCCGCACCTCCCAGGCCTCGTTCAGGACCAAGTTCTGCTGCCGATCTAGGCAGATGAGCGTGCCCTCGATTGTCCGGTCTTGCTCGAGGGAGACGCGGAGCGCCTGACTCAGAAAGGCGCGGAGCTCGCCAGGCACGACGGGCGCGGTGCTCTGCACCTGGACGTACTGCAGAAGGGCAGACAGGGCGTGAGAAACGAGATGTCATTGAGCGAGGGATGTGTGCCGGGTCGCAGTGCGGGCTGGGCGTGGCGCAGCCTAGTCTCGCTCGCGATGGCGGGAGCGATAGGCGTCTCCGGCAGCGTCACGCGCGTGCGGGCTGCGGCTCCGCGCTGCCGGCTCGTATGGGCGAGCAGAGGGCCGACGGTCATCGTCGTCGCGCGCGCTGGATCGCCGCGGCTCGTCCCGCTCGCGCACAGCGCCGCGCTCGTCTCTGCGCCTCTCGGTCGACCGACGAGCGTAGCGGTCGTCTGGGCTCCGGCTCCGGCTTCTGCTGCGGCCGCGAGCGCCGCGTGATCCTTCCCGCCCACCCTGGTCCCCGCGACGCACCTTGCCCTCGCGCTCGTCGCGCTCGCGGCGGCGTTCAGCGCGCTCGGCGCGGACGCGGACCTTCTCAGCATGGCGCTGCTCGCGGACCTGCTCTTTGGCGAGCTTGCGCGCGAGCTTGCGGTCCTCGTGCGAGAGACCGTTGTCTTCTGCCGGCCCTCGACTGCTGCTGCCCTCCGCTGCGGATGACGGCCCGCCCCATCTCGAGTTGGCGAGCGGTGCGGTGTTGGCGCCTGTGCCTGCAACGCCAGGAGCAGCCGCCGAGCCGCGGAGGAGTGCAGAGCCCGGGGCCGTGGACGACGAGAGCACGCCAGCTTTGATGCCACTGGTCCGTCAGGCGTGAGCAGCTGCCTCTCGCTTTCCACAGCAGCATGCCCGCGGGCCCGGCGTACTCACAGACGGCGGTTCATCTCCTCCTCCTCGCGCATCTTGACCTCTCTGAGCTCCTCGCGGCGCTTCTCGCGCTCGCGCTCCTGCTCCTCGACGCCGCCCTCCTTGTTGTACCAGTTGACGTCGCGCCCGTTCTGCCAGCGGCCCGTGGGCACGGCGACCGAGTGTCCGAGGTAGTTCTCGCGGTCCTTGTCTGCGCGCACATTGTCCCAGCTGAACTCTGCTGCGCCGCCCCGCGTGCCGCCTCTGTGGATGGGAATGCAATAAGCACGGTGTCACGCACACGGCTTGGTCTCTTCTGGCTGCTCACCGAGTCGGGCCGAACATGACGAGAGGCCGTGTGGTGGAGGTGTGGTGGAGGTGACGATCGAGCCTAGCCGCACTGCGCGAGGCTCCATGCGTGGCGCGCCGCCGCCGCCCGCCAGAGCCAGATCACGTGCGTGTCCTCCTCTAACGCTGCCACTTGGCTCAGGCCTGTCATCGCTGCTAGACAGCATCGCTAAAGCATCGCATCACTGAAAGCATCACATCGCTGGTATAGAGTACAAAGAGCATGCAGAAATCCCATGCGACGGCCTTATCGCGCGCCCACACGCGCCCGCACGCGCTCCCGGGCCCGCCGCACGCGCTCCTCATTCGTGGTGCGCGCCCGTGCATCAGCGCCAGAGATGCCCGCATTCTGGTCAAAAGCAGGTGCAGCCTCAGCGACTCGCCGCACCGGCTTCCGCTCCTCGCCCTTGCTCTTCCGCAGAGCGCCCTGGGCAGCGTCCGCTGGGACGGAGGCGTTCTGTGCGTGGCTCGAGCGCAGCGGTCCGGCGCCGGCTGGAGTGCTGTGTACCAGGCGGACAGACGAGCTCTTCGCAGCAGCAGCCTTCTTGACGCGGGGTGCATCGCTGGAGTCGACGTCACCGAGCGGTCTCTTCCTCGTCGCAGAGGAGGGCGCGGCCAGCAGCGGCGACGAAGCCGACTGCAGGACCGGCTGCGTTGGGCTGGCAGATGCTCTCGCGCTGAGGCTGTTGCGGGCGCTGCGCCGCAGCTGAGGAGAAGACTTCGTCGAAGCGCTACCCTCCGCGAACGATGTCTCTGCAGGCGCCGAGAGACCCGACTCGGCGGACCCGCCCTCCGGGGGGCTCGATTGCGGCGCAGCGAGCTCGACGCCTGCCTCCGCGTGGAACCCAGACGGCGCTGGGCCTTCGGCGCTCAGCAGAGCTACGACTGTCTGAGGCTGGTCGCTGCTTGCAGTGGGCGATACGGCGGGCAACAGTTGCGCGACTGGCCTGGCGGGCGTCGCAGCAGCGGCCGCGGCGGAGGCAGCAAGTCGGCTCTCAGCGAACTGCATGCGCTCTCGCCGCAGTTCCTCTTGCGCGTGGCGGAGCGCCTCCCTGGCGGACTCGATGCCGCGCTCCTCGGCCTCCGTGTTCTCCAGACGCCGGCGGAGCACTGCCTCCTGCTCGGCGAGCTCCTCGAGCTTGCTGGCGATGTTGCGTGGATCCGCCTGCGCTGCAGCTGCCAGGCGCGTCTCTGCCTCGCCGAGGCGTGTGACTGCGTGCACGAGCTTGGCCTGCAGCTCCGCTCGCTCGTCCTTGTCGCTGCGCACGCGCAGGATGCCGCTCGCGCCGATGCTTGCTGCGTGCGCCGACGCTGCACTCGCACCTAGCACGCTGCTGGCCTTTGCCGACTCGTCCAGGGCGCTCTCTGCTCCCGCGTCGCGGGCAGATCGCACTGCCGCGGCATGCGTCGATGCCTCCGACGCGCGGACCAGACGCAGAGCTTCGGCTCCGGCAGTGATGGCCTCAGACGCACTGACTAGTGCGCGAGTCGCCGGGTGCGCAGCACTGCCGTCCAGCACAGTGGGCAGCTTCTGGCTGGGCGGGAAGACGTCTCGTGTGCCTAGCGCTTGCGGCGGCGGGCGGCCCTCGTTGCCGGGCAGCAGAACATGCACACTGTGGGCCGCACGCCGGAGAGCGTTGAGCGAGTCGGTGGCGAGGCGCTTGAGGATGCGGTTCTCGTCGCCGCGCTGGGCTGCGCGCTGCTCGGCGTCGGCCACGATGCTGCCGATGCTCGCGCTGGGCTCCGAGCTGCCGGCCGCAAAGGCAGCTGACACGATGGCGAGCTGCGGCGCCACACCGCGCGATGCAGCGAGTGTGGCCTCAGCATAGCGTGCCCGGAGGCGGACGTCGGCGCGCTCTGATGCCAGCCGCTGGGACGCCGCCGCAGCCTTGATGCTCTGCACGGACCGGCGTGCGACCGCGAGGTCTGCGCGGGCCGACGCCAGCTGGCCGCCCTGGTGTTGCAGCTCGGCAGTGAGTGCACTGTGGCGAGAGTTAGCGACGCAGCAACGAAGCCAGGCGCTCGGCGTGACTCACGCGACGCGGGCCCTCTCGCGCTCTCTTTCCCGCTCAACCTTCTCACGCCCTTCCTTCTCCTCGCGCTCCCGCCGCTCGCAGCGCTCCAGCTTGTCGCTGAGCTGGCGGTTTCTGGTGGCCAGCGCATCTCTCAGGTCGACATCCTCCTGCCGCTGGGCGAGCAGCGTGTGGATCGCGTCTGCTAGCGGCGCGAGTGCCGCGCTCGGCAGATTCGCGAGGGAGAGCGGCGCGGCGAGGTAGCCGCGGGCGAGCAGCTGGGCGTTGAGCTGCTCGAAGGTCGGGCGCAGCGGCACGTCGTCGTCGGCGCCGAACGGGTCGTCGCCGTGGAAGGGGGCGTCGGCCATCTTGCGATACGCTGGAGGGTGTGGGAGTGGGTCGGCAAGAGGCCAAGCATCCGACGCGGCGTGGAGGCACATCAACACGACGCGGCTCGCACGACGGCGCGGCAAGGCTGCGCGGCGCGGCGCGCGCGCGCGCGCGCGCGAGACGCGCCTGTCACGTGCAGCCGTCGCGCGCGCCCCGCTCGAGAGCAGCGGCCGCGCCTCGGCCACTCCTTCCTCCGCACCCTCACCATCCTGCTGCACCTGCTTCTCGGCGTTCCGCATCGCAGCGTCACCGCCCTCTCTGCTCGCGCGGCCTGCGTCACTTCTCGCTGCCACGTCGTGTGCGCAGGCGCAGCGCCACCGCGAGCACTCCGCCGAGCAGCAGCGCAGGGAGCGGTGACCGCAGTCCGAGCAGGCGGTCTCGCTGGGCAGCCCGTCCAACGCGAACTCGAGCGCCATGTTCTTCCTGAAGACGCTCACGCACAAGATTCAGCTGCACCCGAGCTACTTTGGGCCCAGCTTGAGTGACTACCGTGAGTGCGAGAGGCAAGCTCGTGCAAGGATGGGGGCTCGCTCTCAGGAGCGTCGGGCGGAGCGCTCTGCCCTGGACTGGCGGAGCGTACTGCCTTAGACTGGCGCTTTGACTCGCCTCTTGGCCTCCCAACGATCACGTAGAGACGCCCAGCCCCCGGCGCTGACGCACTGTGCGCGTCGGCAGTGCGCAAGCAGCTCAAGGCGGAGGTGGAGGGCACCTGCACGGGCAAGGTCGGCTTCATCGTCAAGGTCACGGGCATCATCGATGTCGGTGACGGCGTCATCCTGCCTGGCGGCGACGGCAAGGCCGAGTTCGAGAGCACGTACAATGCCGTCGTGCTGAAGCCTGTGAGTCGCTGCGCCGGGACCTCGTGGGTGAAGTCGTGCGCGGGCGGCAGGGCACTTGCCCTGCCTCCCCCTCGCAGCTGTTCCCAGTGCGTTGTCAGCGCTCAGACCGGCTTGGCGCACAGTTCAAGGGCGAGGTGGTCGACGCCCTCGTCACCAACGTGAACAAGATGGGCTTCTTCGCGACGGTGGGGCCGCTGCAGATCTTCACGTCGGTGCACCTGCTGCCCGTCGACTTCAAGTTCCAGCCCGACTCGAACCCGGCCGAATACGCCAGCGCCGACGGCTCGGTGAGTCTGCAAGGCTGCTGCTCACAGCACAGCAGTGCCCTGACCGTGTGCGTCGCAGACCATCGTGAAGGGAAAGAAGGTGCGGCTGCGGATCGTCGGCACGCGCATCGACGCCAACGAGATCGTGAGTGGAGGCGTGTGCGTGCTGTGCAGCCCGGCTGACCAGCCGTGCGCTGCCTAGTTCGCTGTGGGCCTCATGAAGGAGGACTACCTAGGTGCGTCTGCGGCCCCTCGGGCAGCGCAGCACCCCGGCTCACCCTCCATCGCTGCGCAGGACCATTCGACTGATGGACAGCACTGCTCTGGGGCGGTCGCAGACGCTGCTCGGTTGCTCAGGGCCATGAAATGCACTACATCCGCGCGTACACACGCCTGTTGCTGTCGCTTCTCCTGTCCCTGCCGCTCGTTCAGACAAGATGTAGCCTGTCGGGCGAGGCGAAGCAAACGCGTCTGCGAGAGAGCGTCGTTGCTACCTTTGAGCTTGTGATAGCGCTTGGATCGGCCCTGAGGTAGCGGATGCCATATGCTAGGAGCAGATTAGTTCCGAGCGGGCGGCGGAGGATGCGTAACGCAGGCACAGCTGGAGGGATCAAAGCTGCGCCTGTCTGACGCTAGTGCAGGGGACTGCCAGTGGCCGCTATGCCGCGAGCGCCCGTAAAGCGGCGCTGAGCTCACTGGCGCGCGCCATTGTAACTGCGGTCGCAAGCAGGTCGTGTTGTCCTCGCGTTTGCAGTCGCTCGAGACCCTGCGCACGGATGTATGCAGAAGCTGCGATGCTGAAAACTCGCGAGGCAGGCGCCGCAGCCGCCGGCTTGACAGAAAAGCGCGCCACACGACGCCGCCGCGCGTTGGATCAGCTTTGTGAATATGTGCCGCATCGCTCGTGAGTTTTCACCCTTCCATCGCCGCCCGACTCGCCACCAAGCGGCAGACGCGATCGAACTACATGAGCGGCCGGCATCGCCTCGAGCACAGGGACTGGCTCATCGGTGACTGTAGCTGGCTTCCGCCAGGGCGACGGACGCGGCGTCGAGACACACACGCGCTGTCACACCTCTCGCTGCGATTAGTCAAGGTGGCGCCGGGAGCGACCAGTCCAGAGTGCTGACACCGCGGCTATGCAGCTACACCGGGCGCCTTTGCGATCAAGTGATCCCGTCGCAGCTTGCGCGCAGCACTAGAGTGTGTGTGGAGACAGCACATGCAGAGCACAGTGACTAGATGATTACGGCCGGGGCGATGGGATGATACAGGATATGGCGAGGCATGAGAGCGGTCACGAGCAGGCTGGCGGCGGCGGTGGCCGCACGATCAGCCCATGCCGCCCCACACGCCGCGGATACGCCGCGCCAGCTGGATGTCGCGCTGCATGATGGTGACACGCTGGTGCAGGGCGGGTCAGTCGGGGTCACGATTGGGCCGGCAATGCCGCTGACTGACCTTGGCGTGGATGGCGCAGAGGTTGCTGTGTCGGGCAGAGGTCAGCGAGCGCGCTCGTGGCCGGACGGGTGATGCAGCAAGCGAAGGCAGTCGGGCGGACGCCCTGGCGTGTGTGCTCGCTTGTCTCGGGCCGCAGCACTCACGCGTCTTCGAACAGGTGCACGAGGTACGCCTCAGTGGCCTCCTGCAGCGCCAGGATCGCGCTGCTCTGCCAGCGCAGGCCCGCGCCGCCGGTGCCGTCGTACACATTGGTGATGAAGTCGTCGGCGACCTCGCGCACGACGCGCGCGAAGGGCAGCTTCTGGATGAGCAGGTCCGTCGACTTCTGGTAGCGGCGGATCTCGCGCAGCGCGACTGTGCCCGGGCGGAAGCGTGCCTTTCGCCGGCCGGCCGCAGAGAGGTCCGCAGCTGGGTGGGGATTGTCAGCTCGAGGCGGTGCGCAGGGCCGTGCGAAGTGCTCACTTGTATCGTTGCCTACGCTTCTCCTACCGCCGCGCGAAGCGCCTCCGACGCTCTGACGGGCACGCGGCGCCATGGTAGGCGATATAGAGAGGTGCTGAGCTCACAGGAGCAGAAGGGCTAGGTGCGGCTCTGTGAACAGGGCCGACGGAGGCGCTGAGCGAAGAGAGGCTGCGTGCGAGGCGGAAAAGGCCAAGCGGTGGAATGTGCTCTGCAGACGAGCAGCAAACGGTACGCTGAGGCCGCGCGCTGGCGAGTGAGGAGGCGCTGCGACGTGCAGGAGCGGCGGTGAGGAGTCTCGCGGGGGGGATGTGGTTGCGCGGGAAGGTGCGCCGGTGTGGGCGAGCGTTGTGTTGTGCGCTTTGGCGCGCGCGACGCGTCTGAGGCGTTTCGGGACTCGGGCCGCGCCCGACCTACATCTGCGTCGCCCCTCTACTCCACCTTGCCCCATCTCCTCGTCCCTCTTCACCGCACGCTCCCACCCTCGCCCGCACCTGCCTACTTTTGCCGCCAAAATTGCGCTCAGATACTGCGCTCTGCATTTGCGTCATCTTGTACAGCGCAGCCTCCTCGTGGATGCGCTGCTAGCCGCGCACAGCTGCTGGCCATGACGGACAATCAGCCAGCTGAGACATCGACGGCCGCCACCAGTATCGCCAGCCACGCTCAGAGTGAGCGCCCAGCCGACGCCGACACTCTCGCAAGTCTACTCGAGACTCTTGCCGCACTCTCTGTCAATGCAGCACCGCCGCTGGCGGGTGCTACTCGACGCGAGAAGCTAGCGCAGCTCGATGCCCTCTTGGCCTCGCTCGTCTCGGCCAACACGACGGCTGCCGTAGGAGATGTGCTCGACTGGGACGCCCTTCTCCGCACGCTCCCCAGCCTGGCGCCCGACTCTGCTCGGCGTCTGCTCCCTGCCCTCACAGCAATCGGCCCTCCTGCGTCGGCCTTGCCGCGGCTGCACGCTGCAGCGATCAGTGCGCTGTCGCATCGAGGCAACGACAGCTGGCTGCGCGCGGCGGCCAGCGCACTGCGGGCGTGCGGAGCGGCGGTGATGCGCACGCAAGGGCCGGATAGTGGAGCGAGCTCGAGTGCGAAGACAGCCTCAGGCGCTCCAGCGTCGCGGCTGGACGCATCGACGATCGCTGCGCTGCTCGACACGGCACTTGCGGCCCTGGTGCGCGGTGGAGCTGCCACAATCGCTGCCGCTCCCGCACCCCAGTCCGCTGTGCAGGCCGAGCGTATGGGCTTTCAAGGCGGTGCATTGACCTTCGGCAGGCGCGGGCCGACCCGCAGTGGAGGGCCTAGTGAGGCTGCTGCTGGGGTAGCAGCACCGCGCAGCCAGTCCCGCCTCGGTTGCAGCCCGACGCTGCCCGCCTCTCCGTCTAAGCCGCGGGCTCGGCAGGCCACGGACGATGAGGCAGGGTGGACGAGTGCAGCCAGCCAGAGCGGGACTGACGATCACGATCCGCAACGGTGAGCTCCACGGTCGCCTTCGTAGCTCAAGACTGCTGAACAGTCGCGCCCACAGCGAGGCAGAAGCTGCCCGCACGCTCCGCCTGGGCGCTCTGAACCTTCTCTCTGCCCTGTGCATCGTCAGTACACTGCTCTGTGCCTGCGATCGCCATGCTGATCCCGTTTCTCAGTCGCACGCGACCGGTATACTGCCCCACTGGCGATGGGTACTCTTTGGAGGTACGGCTGGAAGTGCAAGCCTGTGCTCCGCAATGGAGCGGGACCCGTCGCTGGCAGTGCGGGTGGGCTCGATGCATGCCGTCGAAAGCCTGCTGCAGGGCGCAGAGAGGGCCGGGTCCCTGGCCGCAGCGCAGGAGCGGTGAGTGCGCCGCCAGCCTCGTCAGCGACCTCAGCTTACGCCCGCGAAGTCTGTCCACACGCGGCGACAAGTTCACGCCGCTGTCGGCGCGCATCGCCGAGATGCTCGTCGAGCTGCGCACCCGCCTGGCAGTGATGCTGCAGAGATGCGCCGAGCTGGAAGTCACGATGCGGGCCGAGCAGCAGCTGCCCAGGGCGTTCCTCGAGAGCACCGAGGCCCTGCTCAAGGTGAGTTGAGGCGATCGACCTTCTCCGCTGCGTGCACTGAGGCGCGTTGCATCGCAGGTCATCCGCATCTTTGTGCAGACGACGAGCAAGTCCAAGTTCCTGCAGCAGCATGCAGCCACAATCCGCTCGCCGACGCTGTCACTGAGCGCCTGCCGCGAGCCGCGCATCGCAGTCAGCGCATACGCCCTTTTGGGCCTCCTGCTGGGCTCGTCGGATCAGGGGCCGGCTACAGATGTGCAGGACGACGAGACTGCCCGGCAGATCGCAGATCAGCTGCTCCTCTCCGTGCAGCAGGACGGAAATGCCGAGGCGGTCGGGGCGCAGGCGTGGAGGGCTTTTGGCGCGCTGGCGCAGGGGCGCTGGAATGCACTGGGGTGAGTGGCCCGCAACGAGCTGCGCATTCTGGCTGACTCCCCGACAGTGACGCCCGGCAACTGCACGCCGGTCAGCTGGTCTGCGACTCTCTCGCAAGCCCGAACGGCGCAAGTGTCGTGCGAGAGGCGGCAGCGCAGGCCTTTGTCCAGATGCTCCGCGCAGAGGCTGCGCACAGCTGCACAGGGACGGCCTCTCGTCCGCCAGAGCAGCTGCACGGCTTGATCACCCGCGCCGTCCTGACAGACGGCCTGTCGTCGACGTGCAGGGCGCTCTGGGCCGAGGTACTACCCGACTGGGCGAACATCCGCGCAGCCGATGCCGCCGAGCACGCCGACCGCCTGACTCGCGCGCTGCAGCGCTTCGCCCGCGATTCCGAGTCGACGGTGCGCGCTGCTGCCGCACGAGCTCTTGGCGTCGCTCTCGCAGAGGCAAGCCAACGCCCGCGAGGAGCAGATGACCCTTGGTGCTGCAGAGCGGAGGTGCAGGCCATCGTCTTTGGCGAGAACGGGCTGCTGCGCGACTCGACCCCGCTCGTGCGCATGCGAGCGGTATGGGCCTTGGCCAATGCCGTAGACGCCATGACGCTCGACGCCAGATCGGACGAGGACTGGCTGCGCAAGGCGCAAGCAGCTCGAGCCGCCGCGGCGGACGACGAGCGCATTGCCGTACATGCCTGGCGTGCTCTCGGCAGCGTCCTCTTCGCCATGCCTCCGACACGGACGTCTGCTGTCGAGGCCGAGGCGCGCGCGTGCCTCTCCGCGCTCATCGCAGGCCTGGCGACGGCGGTCCGCTCGCCGAAAGGCGCCTGGAACGGCGCCAGTGCCATCGCGCGCGCCTTCCAAGAGCCTGTTGTGCGTGCACTCGCCGTGCAGGCCAATCTCGCGGGCGCGGCGACTGCAGCGCTGGCTAAGTCCCTGGCGGCCCGCTCGTTCAAGACACAGCTCAGCGCCGCACGTGCGCTGTGCCTACCCACGAGCGTCGGCGAGTACGGCGGCGCCGAGAGCGGCAGCATGCTGCGGCGCGACGTCGACCAAGCGCGCTCGAGCATCGACGAGCGCGTGCGCGACGCCAAGTTCGCCGAGGCGCAGCTGCACGGCTATCCGTGTGTGACGGCACTTGAGCAGCTCGATCTGTGAGTAAGCTCCGGACGTGCACTCTTGCTGCGCTGACGCCCGCCGCGCTCAGCCACCTCACCCAACTCGGCATCTGACCTGTTTCTGCGTGACGTGATGCATTCGCGCCGACTCCATACCCCCTCACCAGCTGGCCAGCTGCTCCCGTGTGAGCGGTGCCGTCTCCTCCTCGTACTCGACCTCGAGCCGCGCGCCGCCTGTGTCATCGCAATGCTCAGCCGTCGTCGTGCGCCCGCGTGCGCGTGCCACTCACCCTTCTTGCCCTTCTTTGGCTTTGCCTTGTCTGTCTTGCCCCGCTTGGACGGGCCCGCGGGCGGCGCCGCCTTGCGCTTCCGCCCGGCCTCGTCGCCGTCGTCGCCAGCCTCGCTGCCCTCCTCCTCGTCGGACTCGCCCGACTCAGCGTCCGAGTCGGAGGCCAGGCCTAATGACTCGTCGTCCTGCGCGGGCGTCAGGCCGTGCGCTGCAGCGCTGGCACGCACACCACTCACCGAGAAGTCGCCCTCGAGGTCACTCTCGCTCTCGTCGTCGCTGACGAACTCGCGGTCGCCCACGCCCTCCTCGTCCTCGAACTCCTCCTCCAGCAGGTCCTCCTCGTCCTCCTCGTCGCTCTCCTCGTCCTCCAGCTCGATGCCCTCGGCCTGCGCCTTGCCCTCCAGGATCGCGTTCCACACGTCCTCGTTGACGTTGAGCGGCGCGTCGCCGTACGCGCCGCTCTTGAGCCGCGCCAGCAGCTCGGCCTCGATGGACTTCTCCAGCTTGGCGGCGCGCAGCGCCTTGGCCTCGCGCGTCGCCTCGCGGCGCTCCGTCTTCTTCTTGATGCCTACGAGCTTGGGCCTGCCGGGCTGTGAGCGGGCGGTCTGCAGCGGCACAGCAAGCGACTCACTGCTCCTCCTCCTTGAGCTTGATGCGCCGCATCTTGATGAGGTACTGCGTGATCTTCGTCAGGCGCTGCTTGGCCTTGTGCGTGATGAAGTTGCTCCAGTACGGCAGCTCCTGGTCGATCTGCGCGAGCGCCTTTTCGTAATTGTTCGAGAGCTTGATCTTCTCCCACTGGCGCGCAGGCGAGTGGGCGCGCTCGGCCGTCTTGACGAAGAGGAAGATGGCGCCGTCGATCTCACGGACCGTCGCGTACTTGGCGTTGGCAAGCGGGCAGCTTTGCCGGTTGCACTCTGCGCAGGGCTCAGCGTAGGTCACATGCTGCAGAGCGGGCGGACTCACGGCCGCTGAGGTTCATCGGTTGCCGGCAGAAGGTCATGTGCTGCGCGCGGGTGTGAGCAGAGGGCTGCGCTGGCCGGCAGCGGCACACGCACCGTCTTGGTGGAGGGCGCCTTGATCTTGTACGAGCAGAACGAGCCCTCGCCGGCGCCGATGACGGCCCACACGACGTCGTCCGACTGTGCGCCTGCCATGACTGCAGTTTGAGCGGGAGTGAGGTGCTGAGGTGACGGGGGCGAGAGGTGTGCGGCAGTCAGGCGGGGGAGGTGTTGGTGAGAGGCGAGGCTTGGCTGGGCCGGCACCGCCGCTCTGGAATAATTCGCCCGCACGTGACGCGCCCGCGCCAAAAATGTCTGGCTCGGGCCGCGGGAATGGCCGGGTCTCGCGCTCGGTCAGCACCCTGGCCGCCCACCACCATCACCCGCCACCTCGCAATGTCGGCCCCCTCTCCGCCTGCCAACAACCAGCGTGCCGTCGCGGCACTGCTGCGCTCGCACCTCGACGCCGGCGCCGCGCCCGCCGCCGTGTGGTCGCCCGGCTATGTGCCGCTGCGGCGCCGCACTGCTGGTCCCTCCTCGGCACCGCCGGCTGCCGCGTCCTCGGCCGGTGCTCCGCCGCCGGGCTGCCCGATGCACACGCCGGGCGCCGCCGCGGGTGCAGGGCCGTCGGCGTCGCCCTTTGCGCCCAAGGCGGCGGCGCGGCCACACGATGCAGCTCCTGCAGCGGCCCCGAGCTCGTCCCCGAGTTCGTCGTCGGGCTCGTCGTCGGGCTGGTCCGCGGCGCTCAACCCGCTCAACTACATGCCCAGCCTCTCGCAGGCGCCCGCGCCCGCGCAGACGACGGAGCTGCCGACGGAGCGCGTGCGCAGCACCATCCCGCGCGCGCCCACGTCGCCCTCGCCCGGCGCCTCGCCGTACGACGCGCCGTCGGCGTGCCCCGTCAAGCACGACGGCAGCAGCAAGGCCGACGGCGAGGGCGCCAACTGGGAGTACCCGTCGCCGCAGCAGTTCTACAATGCGCTCGTGCGCAAGGGCTGGGAGACGCCCGAAGAGCACGTCGAGATGATGGTGCTGGTGCACAATTTCCTGAACGAGCGGGCGTGGCGCGAGGTGCTCGACTGGGAGAAGGAAATGGGCTCGTGAGTGTTGCGGACAATCGACGACCAGCGCAAGGGGGAGGGGGGGGGGATATTGGTGGAGGGAAGAGAGCTTAGTCGTTCGCCGACGTGAAGCATGCGGCGTCATGCCCCCGCCCTGGCGTGGACGGCAAGGACTTGCACTGCTCATGCGCCGACGAATCGCACTCTACAGCGCTGACAAATCTTGCCAGCGATCCTGCACAGGTCTCTCTCGCACGCTTCCAGGGGCGGCCGGGCACGCTCTCGCCCAAGGCACGCCTGTTCAGCTGGCTCGGTGCGATTGCGCCCTCCCGCTTCAAGTGAGTGCCGGATCTGCATCTCCATGCTGCCTCCTCTGACCTGTCCTCCAGCTCCGAACCGCCATTCGACCGGCACGACTGGGTCGTGCGGCGGCCGGCGGCGGCGCCTGGCGCGCAGCCGCACGACGTGCGCTACGTCATCGACTACTACTCGTGCCCCGATGACGAGGACGGCGAGCCGGTGTTCCACCTCGACATCCGGCCGGCGCTCGACAGCTTCGAGGCGGCGCGGGCGCGGATGCGTGCTGGCTGGCGGGAATGGACCGAGGGCGCGGCGCCAGAGGGGCAAGCGGCCAGGGCCCAGGCGTAGCGCATCGTCCGGCCCGGCGCATGCAATCCACCACCTTTCACCACCCCGCCGCGTTGTGTGACTGCATGTGTTGCTAGCCCGCGGCCCACAGATGTGTCTCGCAGTCCCACGCGCAGCTCGCCAGCACGCCCTCGTTGAACAGGCTCCACCCGAGCCCGACGACAAACTCGGTGTGCAGGTCGTGGCGCGCGCGCTGGGCGTTCTGCGCGCCGACGCGCGGGCCGGCGTTGATGGCTGCGCCGAGGTCGGCGTCCCAGATGCGCGCCGACATGTCGTACGAGGCGCTGGCGAGCACGGACGCCGAGTGCGGCGACCACGCCACGCGCCGGATGGCGTACTCGTGGCCCATGAGCACCGCCGTGCACTCGCCGCCCATCATGGCACGCGCCGGCGCTGGGCCGGGCGCCACAGCGGCGGCGCGTGATGCCGCCGCGCGCAGGTCCCACACCTTGACGCCGCGGTCCGTCGAGCCCGTCGCTATTGTCATGGGCCGGTACTTGTTCCAGTCGAGCGAGAGCACCTCGCCGCCGACGGGCACGGTGGCGACGGGCGACTGCGGGCCGTCGCCGACGCGCACGTCGAAGAGGCGCAGGTGCCCGTCGCCTGACGCCGACGCGAGCAGGTCGGCGTTGTGTGGCGACCACGCCGCGCCGTACACGCACGCGGTGTGGGCTGTGAGGTTGAGGATCGACTGCTGCCGCTCCGGATGCCACTGCACGGACACGTGTGAGCTCACACACGGCAGGGCAGATGTGATGGCTGTGCGTGGGTGCGGCGGCGACTGACCACGCGAACGCTAGCATCCCAGCTGCTGCTGGCAAAGACCTCCTTCTTGAGGTTGTTCCAGTCGACGCTGAACACCTCGCGCTGGTGCTCGGCCCACATGCGGATCGGGTGGTCCTGCGGGGTGTCAGCTTGGGCGTGGTGGGCGCGGCACGGACGGCTCACCGCGAGCGTAATGTCCCAGAGCTTGAGGCTGCCGTCGCCGCTGCCCGTCACGAGCTGATTTTCGTGCACCTCGGACCACGCCACGTCGTACAGGCCGTCCTGCGTGTCGAAGCTGGAGATGGCTCAGCGCGGCAGTGGGCGGCACGCACGCCCCACTCACCCGCGCTCGACGGCCATGCCTGGCGCGCCGTCGCTGCCCGGCGCGCCAGGCCGGCAGTTGACGACGAACACCTTTCCATTGCCGACGAGGCCGTAGTTGGCGGCGGCGGCGACGGCGAGGCGGTCGGGGTAGAAGGGCGACCAGGCGAGGTTGTAGCCGGCGAAGCCGGGCGTCTTGAGGCGCGCGAGCAGGCGCGACTGCGGCGCGGGCAGCGCCATCGCAGCTACCACCTGAGGCCAATAGCAAAGTGGCCAGGAACGAGGTGGATTAGAGCGAAGTGGCCGAGACGGAAGGCGTGGTAGGCGTGGCTGGAGGGTGGAGGTGCGGAGGCAAGCCAGGGCTGCGCGGGGATGCGGCATCGGGAGCGCTGCGGGCCGACCGCCCCTCGGCACTCGGGCTTGTGAATGCGCGTGCGCTCGAGTTCTCAGTTGCTCGCACTCACTCCTTCCCTCACCTCCACCACCATGAGCTCCGCGCCGCGCCGCCGGGCGCAGTTCCGCCCCTGCATCGACCTGCACAACGGCACCGTCAAGCAGATCGTCGGCGGCACGCTCTCGGCGCTGCCCGAGGAGCTGCGCACCAACTGGCAGTCGCAGCAGCCGGCGTCGTTCTACGGCGCGCTCTACCGCCGCCACGCCCTCACCGGCGGGCACGTCATCAAGCTCGGGCCGGGCAACGACGCCGCGGCAGCAGAGGCGCTGCAGGCGTGGCCGGGCGCGCTGCACGTCGGCGGCGGCATTACGTGCGACAATGCGCTCGAGTGGCTGGACAAGGGCGCCGAGAAGGTGCGTAGCAGCCTAAGCCTCAATTACGGCAGGGGCGGTGCCGGTCTGCCCAGCGCGGTGGCCGAACACGGCGATGGTGTGCACGTTCTCGATGCAGACGGTGCAGCGCATCTGAACATAGTCTAGGCGCTACATGTGCGCCGATGGCCTGATCCTGCGAGAGGACTGGGTGCCGGCCAGGCGCGACAGCCTTGACGGGTCATGCGATGCTTGCGTGAACCGTGGACCGGGCTGCGTTGGCAAGCTGTTCGATGTTGCACAGGCAGAGTGCGCTACCACGTCGTGCAGAGCAGGCTGGCTGACCCCGCTTGCGCAGGTCATCGTGACGTCGTACCTCTTTCCGGGCTGCAAGTTCTCGCTCGAGCGTCTGCAGGAGCTCGAGCGGCTCGTGGGCAAGGAGCGTCTCGTCGTCGACGTCAGGTGAGCAGCAGACAGATAGGCGAGATTTGGTGTGAAGGCGAACGCTAGCGGAAAGGCGGCCTACGGCGGAGAGGCGGCTTACGGTGGAGAGGCGACCCGAGTCATGAGGCTGGCGCGCGTACATGCCCTACGCTATGCCGGCCGATGGCTCACCCACTTGGCCAGCTGCCGGAAGAAGGACTCGCGCTGGATCGTCGCGATGAACCGCTGGCAGGACCTGACTGACCTCGAGGTCACGGCGGGTGAGTGCCGACGCGTTTGTCTCAGCCCCGGTGCTGACAGTCTGCGCAGAGAGCCTGCGCATGCTCTCGGAGCACTGCAGGTGAGTGGGCCGAGGTCGTATCTGCGACACTGCTGACGCCTGCCCAGCGAGTTTCTCATCCACGCGGCCGACGTCGAGGGGCTGTGCCAGGGCATCGACGAGGAGCTCGTCGCGCGTGAGTGGCTCGCGCGTGCCGATCACGCCGGTGCTGAGTGTCGCACACGCAGGGCTGGCCGAGTGGTCGCCGATCCGCTGCACGTATGCGGGCGGCGCGCGGCACATGCAGGACCTTGAGCTCGTGGACCGGCTGAGCGGGGGCAAGATCGACCTGACCTTTGGCAGGTGAGTGCGCAGACGACCCCCTCAAGCGACAACTGCGGCGGCCAAAGCGACAGCTACGGCCGAAGCGACAGCCACAGCGACATGTGCTGACCCTCTGCCCAGCGCGCTCGACATCTTTGGCGGCACGGGCGTGACGCTCGACGAGCTCGTCGCCTGGAACAAGGCCTCGCCGCAATAGAGCTCTATATGTGATGTATTAGCGTGCACAGGTCTCGGCGGCGTCGACGCGAGCCGGCGGCGGGCGCGGCCAGCGGCCCAGCGCGTAGTTGGCGCGGATGACGAGCAGGTCGAGCGCCATGCCGACGGAGTCCTTGAGCAGGTCGATCTTGGAGCCGTCGACTTCCGTCCACTCGACGGGCACCTCGGCGATCGGCAGGGGCAGGAGCAGCAGTGGATCTTCGGCGCTGTCAGTGCCCACCTCGGCGCTCTTTCCAGTGGCTTCCTTGGCGCGGACGGCCGCCATGCCGCCGCGGAGGGCGACGCGCCGCAGCGCCGTCTGGCTCGCCATCTCGGCGCGCAGCAGCGCCTCGACGTCGAAGATCCAGCGGTTGATGTGCATGCCCTCGAAGGCGGTGCGGGCGCTCGCGCGCGTGAAGAGCTTGAAGCCGCACTGCGTGTCCTGGATGAGCGGCTGCGCGGGCAGCGCCGTGTGCGTGGCCTTGACTGGCAGGTAGCGCGCGAGGAGGGCCTGCGGCGACGGCGGGCGGAGCAGCAGCGAGAGGAAGAGGTGGAAGCCGTGCATGAGGAAGTTGCGCACAAACGATCGCTGCAGGATGATGGTGGTGTCAAGACTTGCAGAGCGTGACTCGCAGAGCTCGGCTCTCATCACCCACCTTGACGACGGCCTCGCTGCCGACCAGGTGCGCGCGCGAGCCGACGGCAATGCCGTGGCCGGCCGGCGTGCGGATCCGTGCGAGCTCCTGCGCGAGCGGGCGCAGCGCCGAGAACGTCGTCGCGCCGTCGGCGTCGGCGAAGAGGATGAGCGCGCCGCGGGCATGCAGCACGCCCTGCAGAGAATCAGCACCCAGCTGCAGAGTCAGGAAGACTGACACACTCACATGCCTCACGGCGCCGCCCTTGCCGCGGTTGCGTGCCAGGCGCACCACCCGGCACTCGGTGCGGCCCCACTGCTCCTTGTGCTCGCGGGCATGCGCCAGCACCACCTCAGCCGTCCCGTCACTGCTGCCGTCGTCGACAACGAGCACCTCGACGGTGTCCAAGGCGCCCGACAGCGCCTCGTCGAGCGTGACTGCAGCAGACGCTTCACCTGTGGCTTCTCCGCCGACCAGCGGCTCGCGCGACGCCAGCGCCGCGAGCGTCTCGTCGAGCATCTTGGGCAGGCGCGCCGCCTCGTTGTATGCCGGCACGACGATGCTCAGCTGCACTGTGGGCGCGTCGCCGATGACTGGGAGCAGCCCGTCGCCCCACGGCGAGCGCCAGCGCAGCTCGTCGCCGCGCGCGTGCACGAGCTCGGGGCTGAGCACGACGAGCGCCGGGTACGCCGCTAGCAGCAGCGCCAGCAGCGGGCCGAGCACGAGCGCCGAGAGGAACGGCGCCGACGCGAAGCCCGACACGAGCATGCTGGAGAGGTGCACGGACGACGACACGGGGTCGCTGCAGCAGCCGGGCGACATGCAAGAGCGCCAAGTGCGGCAGAGTGTGGGGTGCGGCGGAGTGGTGAGGTGTGGCGAAGTGCGGCTGAGTGGTGAGAGGTCGAGAGTGCGCGGAGCGTGAAGCCAAGACGAGGCGTGAAGCGTCAGGAGTGGAGCGTCGGTTGTGCCACGTAGCGGCGCCGTGCCAGGGGAGAGGGGTGGTAAAGAGGAACGCCGGCGCGAGACGAGATCGACCTTGCTCGGCGCGGCGCGCGGCATTCTCGCCAGCGCGCCGAATCCAACACCTCGAGCGCGCCGCCAACACCCCCTGCCTCCCGACCACCACTCCGCTTGCACAGCCGTCGCACACCCCGTCTGCGCATCGTTGGAGCTCTCCACAGCACTCTACTTGCTGCATCGCTCAGCCGGTCGGCCACGCACCCGCAGCCGCTGCGTCGTCTTCGCGCGCCGCATACACCTCCACACGGCACGTCGCGCTCGCTGCGACCTCGCTGCGTACATCACTCCAGATCCTCGCCCTTTGGGTCAGCGTCTCCCTGCGCGCGCGCGGCACATCTCAGGCCTCAGCCGCTACTGCTCCACGCCACGCATCGCCGCGCTGCGGTCGCCGCCTCGGCCCATTCCGTGCGTAACCCGCGTGGCTGGCCTCGCTCTTGTCTGACACCGCCTGCCAAGAAGCCTGCACGCCTGCGCCTTGAGCCAGAGCCGAGCGTTGCTCTCCGAGCGGCACGCTGCGTGTCTCGAGCGTCACCTCGCCTCCACGCTTTCAACCTGCACGCTTGCGTCTCGCGCCTCGCCGCAGCTAGCGCTCGCCATCATGGCCGCATCGCTCGACATGGCCACTCGCGTGGCCGAGCAGGCGCAGGTGATCGAGAACCTGCGCAGCGACGTCGCTGCTGCCGCGACCACCATCGCCGAGCGCAATGCCGCCGTCACGCAGCGCGACGCCACCATCGCCCAGCGCGACGCCACCATCACGCAGCTGCTCATGCCGGCTGCGAAGCAGGACAGCCTCAGCATGCAGGCGCGCAGCGACGCGGCCACGGCCGAGGCCGCCGAGAAGGAGGCCGCCGAGAAGGATGAGATGGAACGCCTCGCCGCCGCCGCCGCCGCGCGCGCGACGAAGCGCACATTCGAGGAGATGAGCATCGCTCCGCGCCCCTCCGCGGCCATGGGCGCGCTTGATTACGTGCATCGCATTCATCAAGAGCGCTCGCCGTACGCTGCAGCGCGCGCTGCGCTTCGTGCGGAGGCTTATCACCAGGTGAGAGTAGCGGCGCAGCACGAGGCCTTGTATGCTGACCGAAGAGCATCTGCAGGGCATAGAGCCGCCGGCGCCGTACAACCCGCTCGCCCGCGAGATCGATCCTGCCTACGAAGCGGTCCACAAGCGCGTCGACGGCAAGTGGCTTCTGAAGCACAAGCAGACAGCTGATGCTGACCTTGATGCCCAGAGGAACTCGCTGCGCGCGAAGCTGCGCGCGAAGCTGCCCGCCTCGCCTCCGCAACGTTGCGCGTCGCAGAGGCACGCACCGCACGCGTTGCTGCTGCCCGCGCCACTCGCGCTGCTGCGGGCGAGGACTCGAACAGCGACGACGAGTATGTCTAGGCGGCTAGGCGCGGCCGATCTCACGAGCAACAGCAAGGGCAAGGAAGCGCGCACGCTCAGCGTTAGCGAGATGTTCTGAGGCCCGCGGCGATGCGTGTCCGACGTTGCCAGCATCCCGCAGCCCAGTACCACGCACAACTGCCAGCGCAGCAGCCGCCAGTCCGCAGCCCGACTCGTCTCATTCCCGTCGTCGCCCCACATACATACCTCTCCACTCAGCGATACCGTCCCGTGCACGCACGCAATCATGATGCAGTCCCCAGAGCGACGCGTGATTGCACCAGCGGCCTGAACAAGGGCGCAGGGCACAGCTGCGCAAAGAGCTGCTGGCGTGGCGCAGCGGCATGGCAAAAGCGAGAGACCGGCAGGTGCGGTGTGGCAGAGTGGCGAGAGGGCGGCACAGCGTCGCAGGCGTGGCGCGGGCGCAGCGCTGTAGCGACGGGAAAGGAGTGAGATAGGGTTGTAGATGGGGCCGCCTCTCTCCGTACCCCGCAACGGCGCTCTCCTCGTACAAGCCAGCAGAGCACTCGCTTGCGGCCTGGCGTAGCCGTCTGGCTCTCCCTTGCATGCGGCCCGGCTCTCCCCTGCGTGCGGCCCGTTCCCCCCAAGCACGGCCAACTCGGCAATGGCGCTCTCCACGTTTGCAGCCGCAGCGACAATTTCCACCGCCAGCAAATCAACGCCAGCAGAGCGCAGCGGGGTGTGACAGGCCTGCCGCAGACTTGGCGCCCTCAATGCTGCAGAATTGACGCAGCGGCCATCACTTGCGCCCGCTCTCCACGTCAAGGCAGCAGACCGGCCGTCGCTCGCCGCAGCAGATCGGCCCCTGCTTGCAGTTCGTCGCAGCGACGCCGCTCTCCACGTCGACGCCGCAATGTGGCACTTGCTCGCCGCAGCAGATTGGCCCTTGCTTGCAGTCCGGCGCAGCAACGCCGCTCACAACCATCCGGCGCCGCCCCACCGCGGGCCGTGCGCATGCGCCTCGCCGCGCATGTCTCTGAGCTTGCCGCAACTTTGACTTTGACGGCGACTTTGACGGCGCCAGCGTCAGCAGCGCAGACGCAGAGACTGAGCAGCGCCGGTAGCAACACGGCACCGCTGCTGCCTGCGCAATACGTGCGGCAAGCTGTTGGGTTGCCAGTGCGCGCAATGCCGCCGTGGCGTGCAGCTTGCTTCCTGCCACCACCCCTTGAGGTCATACCTCAACAAATACAGAATCTGGGTAGGGGGTGGCCAGCTAGGGGTGCTGCATAGTGACTGACATAGCTGTAGCTGCTGAGCAGGCGCATCTTCTGAGCTTAGTAAGTGGTGCGTCAAAAGTGACATGCGCGGCAGCAGGTACAAATGACCTTGTATTTGCAGCATACCGCAAGGCAATGCCGGCCAGGGGGCAGAATTTGGGTTAGGGTTAGGGTTAGGGTTAGGGTTAGGGTTAGGGTTAGGGTTAGGGTTAGGGTTAGGGTTAGGGTTAGGGTTAGGGTTAGGGTTAGGGTT